GTTCCATTAACTATTACTGTAACAAAAACCTAGCTCAAATTTATCCAAACGTTTATTTATATCATGAAATATGCAAGCTAATGGCCATTAATTTATGTGGTAACAATGTCATTTAATTCTATTAAACTATCAAGGTGCCATGTGCGGGGCCTCACCGATGTTATGTATGGGGGGCTCTGAAAAGCTGAATCTGAGCCTGAATTAGATTATGCATGAACTTTTAATATGTATTTACAATGATTTTCATGAGTTTGGAAGGTTTTGCAATGCAAGAAGAGAGAGAGAGAAAGTTGAGATGAGAGAGGAAATTTGTAGCCCAACTCCCCCCAACAATTTGAAATTGCTTATGCCCAACTCTATAAGCACAATACACCTAAATTACTAGCTCTATCAATATTATCAATTTTGAAAGATAATAACATGGGATACATAATATTTTTTATTGTTAGAATGGGATATAGAATATTCTTGGATGTTATATGTATTCACATAATATTATGAATATATTCATAATATTTATTATTTAAGATAATCTATTTATATATTGCAAGATTGCATAGCAGATAATGCAATTGGCCAACTATCATTGAGTTCGTAATTTATGGAAAGCTAAGAACAACCACATTTTAATGGGGGATAACAAACAAATTACAAAATTCTTGTCTCAAGTTGCTATCTCATCTCATCGGAATAATTTAGGCATGATTATGATTTTTTTAACTCTACTCTTTTTGGATATGTGTTCAAAATCAAATCTTAAATTTGTGCACATGAGTAAATTAAGAAAATTTAAAACTAGTCATTCAAATACATTATATTAAGGCTATGTTTGAATGTATATTGATTTGAATTTGAATTTAGATTTGGATAACTAAAACTTCATGGATTTGGACGAAATCTAAATACAAATCCATAATTTTTTTATCTCAATTTCTTTATAATTTAAAATACTATCTAAACCTTGGTTATTTGAAATAAGGAGAATGATAAGTAAAAATCTTGTAAGAAAATTAATGTTAAATTATGAATTTTAGTATTAAAACATGAGAAAAAGAAATATTGAATTTGAAAATTTTAGTATTAAAAAAATCATAATTTGACATTAACTTTCTTCTAGGGCTTTTACTTGTCATTCTCTCTTTGAAATACTCTTCTACCACCTCTTCTTTATGTTAAATTTATAATTTGAAATATTAAACTCATAAATTTTAATATTAGAATTTATTTTTTAAAACTATTACAAAAGAATTAAATACATGAATTTTAAATGTAAAAAATTAAAATATGAGATTTTAAATTTTAAACTTAAATTCAAATCTATCAATCTAAATAGTACTTTATATTATATTTTATGTAAGGTGCATTATTCTTTATATAAATTATCCATTATTCATCTTTTATCCAAAAAAGAATTCTATTTAATGCATGGCCTTGCCATATTGCTAATGATGAATGGTCATTATTTAGATTTATTTATTTGACAAAAATATTTTTATTGATATGTATCCTTTTCCTTTTCACGTTCATCTAATCTTTCTTCAGAATTATTAGCCTAATTTAATATGCATTAAGAAAAATATTTAGATAGACTAACTACACCATGTCATTTATAGCTTATTCAATTAAAATATTTTAAATAATCTAAATAAAATCTTGTGTAACATTTTTTTAATTGATTTTATTTTTATAAAAAAATATATATTTAATTTTTTGTCTTTTCTCTCTACACTATTATTAATGTTAGAATCAATTTATATTTAATATCATCTAAATGTTATATTTTTATTGGATAGACCACAAATGATATGGTGCATCTAATCTACCTAATTATTTCTCTATTTCTCTATGGGTTGATGAGCATTCTACCCTTCAAAGTTCAAATTATTACGTGAATAGCATTCTTTAACTCTTCAAATGTGTAAAAACTTTCTTTAATTTTTAAATTCTAAATGCCTAAAACTCCATCATTAAATTAGAGAAAATGACCGTTATTTTTAAGGGTCAAGATGAGTGTCACATTAGTGTGCGACTGGACCCCACAACTATAATAATAATGATAGTTTTTTTCAACTTAACAATGAAATTTTAAGTGCTTAGAATTTAAAAATTGATAAAAAATTTTGCATATTTTAAAAGTTTAGGATCCAAAATACTATGCATATAATAATTTAGAGTCTACAATACTCTTTAACCTAGGGGTGTTCATGGGACTAAATTTAGAGCCTACACCCCTGTCCTATGTCCCATCACAAAAAAAATTAAGATTAAATTTTTATTTTTTGTCTAGTCCTATCTTGAAAGTCATCATGTTTCATTAAGAATCGGGACGAGACTGGGACAAGATTTGAACATCTCGTTATCCCAATAAATTAGACAATATCAGAGAAAGATTTGGATAATATAATTCATTAAAATTTTAAATCATATAATTTATTAAGTTTAAAATCTAAACAACACAAGTACATAAATCACAACAATTTAAAGTCAATTATTGAATTACATTAATCATAGCTACACATTATAATAGCAATTACAAGTGATTTTTAAAATATAAGAGTAGCAACAACAGGCAAATTAAGTACAATATCAAATTATTATTTTTTTACTTTAGTTGAGATGTACTAAGCTAATTTTTCTTCCAAAAATAAAGTAAGAAATACAATATAAATAAAAGTTATTAAATAGATAGTTATAAAAATAAATTATATTAATATAATTAATATATTATAAAGAAAGATATCACCTTGTTTACTCTGTATTATTAAAATTATCAATATAAAAAACTTTAGTTTTAATGTTAATATAATTAATATATTTAATGTATTTTTAAAATAAAAAATAATATATATATAATATTTGGGATGGGATGTCCTGATGATAATCCTATGTCTCATCTCATCCCCCAATTCTTTCTTATCCTGTCCTGCAAAATCCTGTCTCGATTATTTTTGAGCCAAGACGAGACTCGTCCTACTATGATAGGGATAATACCGGATCAATTGAAATGGGTACAAGCTGAACACCCTTACTTTAACCCATTTAATATTGAACTGATATTATAATTTTTTAGCCAACGAACTGATATTATAGTTGAAAAACTTTTAATTTAAGTAGCACTGCTGTGTTAGGTACAAGTATTTAATATTAATAGATTTTTTTATATTTTAATATAGAAATAATAATATCTTATTATATTTATAAAAAAAACTATTCTTAATTATTCAAATGCTACAAATGATAGTATCTGTATTGGCCAAAAATTGTTCAAAGGTTACACGTAATGTTTTAAATTTTTGACAAGTAATGCTCTAAAATAATAACAAATGGTGTTGTTTGACCGGCAATAGTTTGATTCTTGACTTGAGAAAACTGAATCAAGTTATTTGGAAGAGGTTTTATTCATATTCAATGTATATATTTATGGATAAAAAGTTATTGATAGAAGATATTTTGTTAATAAATATATAAATTAAAATTATGCATCTTGCTTTGATCATATTGCTAAATCTATGATATTAATTTAAATTGTTTATATTATTACTATTTACATTCAAATTTTCAGCAAGTCACCACTATTGATTTTGAATTTTAGTTTTTGTTATAGAATTTTCATGATATTAAAACATTTAAAAAAAATGTACATATACATTCACGAATTTCAAATTTTCAGTTTCTACCATAACTTTATTCTTCCTCATTAACTGAAGGGGATTATTTGAAGTCATAATCTAAATATTTTAGTACATTTTCGGTTAAAAATCATTGAGTGTTTGTGATTTTTTTAAAAGCCATATGTTCTGTGCGTGATTTTGTTACCTAGCTACACACACATAATGTATGTTATTTAAGTTCTTCGTAGAGAGCTTCTTCTCATACCACTGCAATTAATGGAAATTGTCGGCGTCCTCGTTATTCCAAAAGTGCTCATACATATGGTAAATAATTGATATATAGGTTATACAAAAGGGGATTTGAGAATCTAAAATAAAATTTTAATATTTAATATTTAACAAATTAGAAAGTTATAGAAGATATGAGGAGTGTGGGATGTGAAATTGGAAATTCTGACAATCGAAAGTTATGATGTAAATTTTTTTTTTTGGCCGAATGATGTTAAATTATTCAAAATGCAAAATTATAATATAGATATTGATGGATATAGAGATATACATATGGTATAAATATAGATATAGAAAAAATGATTTCTATGACTACATTCGCTCCCTTTTTTATTCATTCCATTAATTTAAATATTAAAATATAATAATATTTAATAAATTTCAATTCCATCTATATATATATAACTTATTTTTTTATATTTTTTTACCTTACTTATTAATTTAATCTTACCCCACACGTAGAGAATGCAAAATTTATTTTATTTACTTTTGTAAAATTTATGCATGATTATGATTAACCTAACAAGAAATACTTATATCTTTAACATATAAATTTGACAGGATTTTAAAATGTCGAGACTCAAAATTACTATGACATGGCATTTGCCTTGTTTAATTTCTCTACTTGAATAGTAATGTAACTTTTATTTGATAGGAGGAATAATATGACTTTATAATATAACTTTCATGATTTCATGATCTTTTTTTTTTTTGGCAACATCATTTCATGATCTGAGGGTTATTTAGATTTATTTTTTTCACAGATTCTAAATTAATGAATCTTTTTCTCAATTGACATTTTTACCAATATAAATTTTCTGGATAATTTAAAATCAAATATAATTTTTTGTCAATCACGCGTAGTTGAATATATAAGAAAATTAATAAAATAATTGCTCATTCAAAAAAAAAAAAACCACTGTAAACAATTCAGGAGTTTGTATAAAGCATAATCACAACAGATTAATCTACAAAATCAAAGGGTTGAAATCTAAGGATACCATAAAATCTAAAATAATTAATAATCCATTGACCTATTTCAAAACCTATAAATACATATCTAATACCAACCTTAAAAAGTTCACTTAGAAGTTAACATCGATGGCTTCTTTTAAAGTTAATGCTCTTTTCTTCATAGCTTTCTCTCTTTCGCTTGCATGCCAAAGCCTTGCTGATGGCAACAACAATACTTCTACGTTAGTCGTAGATGTTGGTCATGGAAAGCCAATCTCCAAATATTTTTTTGGAGTATTCTTTGAGGTAAACATACATTTCATGCAATATTAAAGTTTAGAAAAAATTAATCATTTGATCCTTATAGTTTTGATCCAGTTGAAATTCCATCCCTCAACTTTGACTCATTATAATTTAGTCCCTGAAGTTTTGATTCAGTTTTAAATCAATTCCTGAATTTTGCCTCTTGTAATTTAGTCCTTGAAGTTTTAACTTCTTAAATATTAGTCATTATATTTTAAAAAATAAAATTATAAAGATTAAAAAATATTTTAAAATTTTAATATTTATAATATTTATAAAGATTAAAAGGATTTAATAATTTAAAATATTAGTAATAAATTTTGAAATATTTTTAATTTTTATAATTTTATTTTTTAAAATATAGGGACTGATATTTAAAAGGTTAAAACTTTAGAAACTAAATTGTAAGAGATAAAGCTTAAAAATTAAGTTATAACGAGTCAAATTTGAGGGACTAAGTTACAATTGGGTTAAATTACAAGGATCAAATGATTAATTTTTTTTAAAGTTTATTATTCATAAATATTAGTCATTGTATGCATATATTGCATGTTGCTTTTTCACATTGTCTTACGTAGGAAATTAATCATGCTGGAGCTGGAGGATTGTGGGCAGAACTTGTGAATAATAGAGGTAAAAGTCATTTTCAAAATCTCTCTATAATTAAGATTTTTTATTCTTTAAATTAATCTTAATTAATCGTGGTTTTAGGTTTTGAAGCTGGAGGCTCAGCCCTTCCCTCAGGCATGTCTCCATGGAAAATAATTGGAGATAGATCAAATATTAATGTCCAAACTGAACCTACCTCCTTGTTCCCAACTAATCCAATGGCTGTTAAAATGGATATTCTTTGTCCTTCTCCAGCTAAATGCCCTAATGGTGTCGGTCTTTCTAACCCTGGTTTTTGGGGCATGGTAAGCTTCTTTCTATCTTTTTATTCGGTTTCAAATTTATCCAAAAACTGATTTTAATGGTTCAAATTTAAAATTTTTAACCTGTAAATTTTTCTATATAAATTCTATTTTTTTGGCTAGAATGACAGTTATATAAAATTATTTTTATTTTAAATTTGTGGACGTTTAAATAATAATTTATTAAGATATGAAAAAAAATCAAATCTAAACCGGTCCAAATTGATCTCATCACAAATCAAATCCATTTATTTATTTATTTTTTTTTAACAAAGAGGAACTAGATCCCTTACTATATATATATATATATATAATCTATATATAACATCACTTTTATTTTGATACTTTGTGTATTTCTTTTTCTTTTTTCAGAATATTGAGGAAGGGAAGGAATATAGAGTTATATTTTATCTTCGTGCCTTAGGGTCAATCAATTTGAAAGTGGCATTTACAGGAGCAGATGGAAAAGAGTTAGCTTCAAATAACATCAAGTACTTGACAATTTCACTACACACACTATTAAATAATTACTTCCTCTTTATAAATTATTTAATTGGTTATACACATTATAATAATATATGTTATTTTTTTTAGGGCTCTTGCAACTTATGTTGCAAAGTGGAAAAGGTTTGAGACTATTCTAAAAGCTAAAGCATCAGATGTTCAAGCAAGCCTTCAATTAACAACTAACCAAAAAGGAGTTATTTGGTTGGATCAAGTTTCAGCAATGCCTTTGGATACATATAAGGTCTTCAATACTTTAACGACTCAACTTTTAAGCGTATAAAAAAAAAATATTAAGCATTTATTTTTCTAATATATATTCTATATATTTTCATTTTTAATTAGGGACATGGCTTCAGAAAAGACCTTTTTCAAATGGTGGCTGATCTGAAACCAACATTTCTTAGATTTCCTGGTAAGCTTTGAATTGCCATACAAAATGCTTAAAATTAAAAAAGTTTTGTTACATTTTTATTTTTTCTTTATATTTTACTCATAACATTTTTCCATTGGATTAGGTGGTTGCTATGTTGAAGGTGATTATTTGAGGAATGCGTTTAGGTGGAAAGATACCATAGGACCATGGGAGAAGAGGCCTGGTCATGTAAACGATATGTGGGGTTATTGGGTTGATGATGGATTTGGTTATTTAGAGTTTCTTCAGGTGTGTGCCTTTTAATTCTCAATTTTTAAACTTAGCAAAATGTTATATAGAATAATCATTAAACATTGGTATTATTTTGAAATAGTTATCGGAGGACCTTGGTGCTGCTCCGATATGGGTATTTAATAATGGAATTAGTCATCATGATCAAGTAAATACTAGTGATGTTGATCCAATGGTTCAGGTATAACTTATACTCTTTTATTATTATTTTTTAATAATCCTTTCTCAGTCAATCATTTTGTATACGTTAATTTAATTTATTTTCTGTTAATCAAATTTTAGGAAGCTCTTGATGGAATTGAATTTGCAAGAGGTCCTATCACGTCAAGATGGGGCAGGCTAAGAGCTTCTTTAGGTCATCCCAAGCCTTTTGATTTGCGATATGTTGCTATTGGAAATGAGGATTGTGATAAGACAAATTACCAAGGAAACTACCTCAAATTTTATAATGTCATAAAGCATGCATACCCAGATATGCAAATCATATCAAATTGTGATGCTACTCAGAAACCCTTGAAGCATCCAGCAGATTTGTATGACTTCCATATATATACAAGTGCCAAGAGTTTCTTTGCACTGTATACTAAGTTCGACAACATGCCTCGTTCTGGCCCTAAGGCTTTTGTTAGTGAATATGCTGTTACGGGTAAAGATGCTGCAAATGGAACCCTCTTGGCTGCATTGGGTGAAGCCGCATTCCTTATGGGACTAGAAAAGAATAGGTATGTTATCATTAGAGTCGATAATTCAAGCCAGCTCAAACTCGCTCAAAAAAAATTAGAGCCGAACTTTGTTATATGAGCTTTTTTAAGAGGATATGATACCTCAAGCCTGATCTAAATAAGCCCGACTGTTAAAATTTCTAACTTTATATGTATATAGAATTAGCAATTTTAGCCAAGCTCAACAAGCCAACCCAAACTGATCGAAAAAAGTTAGAATCGACTTTGGTTAATCAGCTTTTTTAAAAGGGTAGGATGCTTCAAGCCTCACTTATATAAGCCCGACCTGTTTGAATTTTCGGCTTTAGTTATTATTGAATCATGAAAATTTTATACTTAGTCATTAAGTTAGTGAACCACTAATTGATTATTTTCATATTTTCCCAAACAGTGAGGTTGTTGAAATGGTTAGCTACGCACCACTCTTTGTTCATACCAATGATAAGAGGTAGTAATTTTTTTTAATCCTTTTTTACTATGAACTTTCTTCCATCATTTTACATGATTAAGATTTATGAAATCTATTTGTAAATAATTATATATAGGTGGTTACCCGATGCTATCGTATTTGATTCTCATCAAAATTATGGAACTCCAAGCTATTATTTGCAAAAGCTATTCTCAGAGTCGAGTGGCGCAACATATCTGAACTCAACACTTCAAGGCTCTTCTTCAGTTGTTGCATCTGCAATTGCTTACACGAGTTCAACAAACAAGAAGAGTTACATAAGAGTAAAGGTATACACATAATTAACCCTTGATGATCTTTCATTCCAACCTAAGATATTAAAAGCCTTAAATTTTTTGTTTTTCTTATTTGAAATTCGAAATATTTGTGTAGGTTGTGAACTTCAATGACAATCCTGCAATTTTTAAGATCACTTTCAATGGTTTAGAAGTAATAAATGAAAAACTTTCTGAGGCAACAAAGATAGTGCTTACATCTCCAAATGTAATAGACGAGAACTCCTTCGAAGTGCCTACAAAGGTGAATTACATATATATCCCTTTGTTAATTTGTTGTATTAAAATTGGTCTATGAATTAAATAAAGGTCTTTTGAAAAATATTCCTTATATATGTTTTTATGTGTGCAGATAACTCTGGTGCAAAGTTCATTAGAGAATTCTGGAAAAGACTTGACTTTCAAGCTCCCTCCAAATTCAGTCACTGCTTTTGATTTTCCAAAGTGATGGACCACTTTTGAAGACAGGGGCATATAAGCAATAAAAATTTAGATCCCGTGTAAATTTTCATTTTAAAATCAGATCCCTTAGGCAGCGTAGTGAGGGCATCAATTCAATAAATTAGTTTTAGACTTTTTTTTGTTAATTAGTTTCAGGCTTTTTTGTTTGCAGGGCCTTGACCCATTTTCAGAAAACTATTATGCAGAAAAAATTAATTACTTCTTAATTATTCCTTTTTTTGGCTGATAAATATTAATTATTCCTTATTATTTGCGTTTCAATTTTTCAGATTCTTTTTTTTTCCTTTTCCTTTTCCTTTTATTATTATTATTATTTTTTTTGGTTGAGAAGTTGATAGCTGACAATGACATTGGAAAACATATGGGCCCTTTTGTCTGCACATAGTTGGATACCATGTAAGCTTGACGCTTTGGAGCACTTGCGTGCTTTCACTTATAATCCAAAAAGTAGGTTTTTTTTTTAATTTGGTGGGGATTAACTTGTAAATTGAAACCTAATACATTATTTAAAAATTTATATAAATTTTAAGACAAGTTGTTTTGTTTTTTCTCTTCTTTCTTAAGTTGGGTGATAATCTTCCTTGCGTAGCATGGGAGAATACTTTTATATCCTTTAAAAAAATATGTTCAGATTAATTAAATAATTGAGATGTTTGGCAATCAGAAAACATTTCGTGCCTTAAAATATTTATAAGGAGATAGAAAAAATAATTGCATAAAATGTGAAGAACTGAAAATTTTTCAAAAAATAACTTTAGATGCAAATTTTGGTGGAATTTTGATATATTCTACTATAAATGAGTTTTTTGGCCAAAAACTATGGTGTGTTTGGATTGATGGGGATTTGGATTTAAATTTGGATAAGAATCAAATCCTTTATTTGGATATACTAGAATTTAAATAGTATTTGAATTGATAAATTTGAATTTCAAATGTTACATTTGAAATAATTTCATATCCATGCATTTAAAATTATTTCTTTGGTGGAATTTTGATATATTATACTATAAATGAGTTTTTTTTTGCCCAAAAGCTATACATGAGTTTTTTTTTTGGACAAAGGCTATACAAGAGTTTGAAGAAACATCCTTTCTAGTCCATACCTTTTTTTGCCATAATTTCTTGTCAATACTTGAAGTAACAAATTTATTTAACTATAATTAAGTGAAACGTTATGAAGGATCCAAATTTTAACAAAATTTCTTAATGATTTTTGAATAAATGAGTAAATTATCTCTTAAATTTTAGATTGAGCAGCATCATAAACTTTAAATTTGTTTATTATATAAATTGTTCCCTTAACTTTTAAAAACAATGTAATCTGGGCCTTATCATTAAGAAAAATTAACTTTTACCGTTGACAAAAAAATAATAGAAAAGGATCTAAAAAATTATAAAAAATGATCAAAAAATTATAATAAAGGATTCAAAAATTATATACAATGACCTAAAATTTACAAAAATGGATAAATTTTTTTTGATCATTTTATCTAATTTTTGAGATTATTTTTTATTAATTTTTAATTTAACTAATAGTTAAAGTTAATTTTTTTTAATTGAGGCCATATTTTATAATTTTTAAAAATTGAAAGAATAATTTACATAATAAAAAAGTTTAGAATTTATAATGCTACTGTTCCTAAAATTTAGAAAATAATTTGTTCATTTATTCATGATTTTTTGTATAAAGAAAATTTCATAATGATAACTGACATTATTAATATTGAAGAAAGAAGTAATGACACGTGTAGAACAAAAAATTGTTCAAATGCCAACTAAAAATCAAATCGATTTCAAGTACAGCAAGGGGAAAGGCAACTATAGTATATAATATAATATTAAAATATTTTTACCAATATATAATATATTAAAATATGAATATATTTTGTTTACCCAACAATAATTAAAATTATATCTTGCAACTAACTTAAGTTAATGAGTGGTAATGTGTTTGTTTTGTTTTTTCAGTACACAAAAATTTAAGTGAGTTGAGCCTCAAAAACTTACAAAAACCAGAACATATATTCATATTCAAAAAATGTTTATAGAGATACTCATATATTGCAATATTCTTGTTATTTGTACAAGTGGATGGGGTTCTTATTGTTATAATATAATTTCTTTTCTATCTTTTATGATTATTTGATATGATCTGATATTTTACAAATTTTTGGGTGAATCTATAATTTTTTTTTTGTTTTGCTAAATACCCATACTTGTACTCAGATTTAGAACTTGGTAAGTGGGCGTCAAATTGAAAACAACATGCAGAAGATATGGGGCAAGGGGCATAAATAACCCACAAATCAACGGGGGTACTTTCATTGTTATTTTTTATAAGTTAAATTTTAATATTTCCATGTTTGATTGAGATTTATAAATAATTAATTTTTTTATATAAAACTTATACGTAATTCTCTCTTTTATTATTTAAAATATTTGAGTGATTTTTTTACCAGCATTATTTATAATATTTGAATTAATCCATTTTTAAATTCAGCCCCCGACTTTAAAAGAATAAAATATAATTTATTATAATAATTATGATAAAATAGTGACCACCATATCACTGCCCCTTCCTTATTACATTTCTCATACTAAAATATCAAAAAATAGAACAGAAGGAGAAGGCACAGAGCCACCAAGGCAGGATGAGGGCCCGAGGCTATACTTAAACGACAGTGAGTACAACGAAGTCTCAAAGCCTCAACAATAGACGGAGGCACATACAGAAAGAGAGGCTGACCGATAATCCAGGTGGGTGAGTTCGCGTCACTGATTCTCTTCACTCTTTGATTTCTAGGGTTTTGTTTGTGTCCACTCTGCAAATCCGTCTTTCATTCTGTTCGGTTTTCGGGGAAAAAAAAGCTGACATTGGAAAAAAGGTTCTGTTGCGTAGATTGCATGTTCATGTTCCCCATTTATGTTCTTTATTTTTTTATTTTAATCTTCTCTGCAATAGGTTGGTGGCAAGGTTCTGGGTTGCTCTCCTCTCCAGTATTTTAATTAAGCCATTCATGGAATGCTGTTACTCGCTATTTTAGTGTGCTCACCTTTTGTTCTCCTTTCCTTCAATGTATTTACTCTTGATTCGTTATTTCTGGTTCTATTTGAGCATTAGCAGCGAAATCGTTCGATTTTTTTTCTTTTTATCATTAATTTAAATTGAAATTGATGTTACTCTTAGCCGTTAAAATGTTTACTCTACCAATCTTTCAGGATGTATCCTGAAGTTTTTATTTGTCAGTGTATGCTCGATTGCTGAGGAAGAAACCACAAGATTCTAAATTTTTTCATATGCCAGGATTATTTGCTTAATACATGGCCACAGCGCTTAAACTTCGTAATTGTTTGTAAATTTGTGTCGCGGGGAAAGGATTAAAATGCAACTTGGATTCGCTTTCTTGCAGTTATATATGTTGATTTGGTGCTTATTGTTAAGCTTCTTGCTTCGCTAATTACGCTTGCCATCACTTCTTTCAATTCTAGTTTCTACTTGGTATACTGCTGCGTATGAATAAATCTGTTTGCTTGTGGACTCTTTAATATAATTGTTACTTTAATGCATATGTGGAATATGTCATTTTTTTGCTCATTTAATTTCCAAAATTGTCATTTCAGGTTTCAGCTAGCAACTATATATATAACTGATTTACAACATTGATAGGCATATTTTGTCTATCAAACTAGTTTGTGACTAAGTTTTATGTCTGCGCTGGGTTTTCACCATGAGTGGTGCACCTAAGAGACCTCATGAAGAGACCGTTCATTGCTCATCAAAGCACCCGCATGATGATCCAGGTTCATATTCTAAATTGTCTTCATCTGTTTCAAATGAGTACCATGTGCCTTATGATTTAGGTCAAGATTCGAGGCTGTCAAAGACACCCCGTATAGAATCTCGTGATGCAGACAAAAGATCTCCTCTCCACTCAGGATATCGGATCCCATCTTCAGCGGAGTTGCATGTAGATCATCCTGTAGGTGCTGAAAACAGGATGGAATCAAGGGATTCCAAGGAAATTAGAGATCCACGGGTTGAGAACCGTGATGTAAAGACTGAGAAGAAGGAATTGCATGGTGAGGCAAGGAGGGATTCTCACACTTCTAAAAGTGATAAGGATCTACGTGTTGAGGGAAGAGGAGATGACAACAAGGATGTCAGATATGATCGGGACAGTCATAATGATTCAAAAGGTGACATTAAGACAGAAAAGGATGGTTATGGTGTGGTAAGTACCCACTTGAATTGGAAAGAATCTAAAGAATACCATAGGGGAAAAAGATATTCTGAGCCCCCTGGTGGAAATTTGGACTCCTGGCACATGTCCCGTGGAAATTCACAAGGCCCTCTTGAGGTTGGGAAGGAGGGTTCAACAGCAGAAGAGAGAGATTATATGGAAGCTCATGAGGCTGTTGGGGAGAACAGAGTTGATCCAAAAGGTGAAGATAAATTTAAAGAGAAAGATAGAAAAAGGAAGGAAGTGAAGCATCGGGATTGGGGGGAGAGGGAAAAAGAGAGAAGTGATCGTAGAAGCAGTACACCAGTAATCAATACAAGTGGTGACAACAAAGAATCTACCAAAGAAGATAGAGATGTTGAAAGGTGGGATAGGGAGAGGAGAGATCTTCCTAAAGACAGAGAAAATTTAAAGGAGAGGGAAAAGGACCATGTTAAAAGAGAATCATGGAATGGAGTGGAGAAACAGGCTTCACATATTGAGAAGGAAATTGGTGATGCATCAGTTAAAACGACAGAGCAAGAAAATGTTGTACCTGAGCAGAAGAAACAGAAAGATTTTGAAAGCTGGAAAAATGTTGATAGGGAGGCTAGAGAAAGGAGGAAAGAAAGGGATAATGATTTAGAAGGAGATAGACCTGAGAAGCGTATTAGGTGCCCTGACAAGGAATCAGATGATGGATGTGCTGATGGGGAAGGAGCAACAGAGAAGGAAAGAGAAGTCTGTAATTATAGTGTTCAGCAACGTAAGAGGATGCAACGATCAAGGGGGAGTCCTCAGGTGGCTAATCGTGAACATCGTTTTAGATCCCGCACTCAGGACAATGAAGGGTAATTTCCCCCTTATCTTGCATTTTCATTATTTAGAAACTTTATTATAAGTATCTTTTCCATTTCCAAAATAATATGAATTACTTATATATCGATTTCAATCTATACTGTATGTTACTTATATTAGCTGTAGCTGAAGCTTCAGAGTCTTGCCAGAAGTTTTGAATGATATGATTTGTTTTGGCAGTCTTTTTGTTTTTTTCTTATTTCATTTAGGAGGACAGTAATCTCTTCTTTCCGAGAGTTAATTATTCTTCACAGTGTAGCACAGTAGCAGTCAACAACTGATATCAAAAGTCTTTTGCATTTGCAAGTCGAATGTGCATGGGAATAATAATAATAAACTGCTTGAGTTATAAGTAAACGTTGCACCATTTAAATAAATCTTGTGGTAGTATATTTGAAGCACGACCTTACTTGAATAAAAACATTCTTATTAGTTATGTTATTATGCTATCTTATATCTTGGACCTTTGGAGGAATTGGCTTATGCTTTGGAATTCATATATAGTTATGTTTGTAATTGATTGTTACGAGAGCTCTTCAGTATTTATATTTTATATTCTTAAATAATATATAAAAAGGAAATTTATTAATTGTAAGACATATTGTTGATATGATTTTTGTTTCTAATCTGAAGTACCAGGTTTGCAAGAAAACTGATCATATTTAATTCTCATTTACTACTAATGCCCCATTAGGTAGCATGGAAGAGTTTTTGATGGAAGTGGAAGAGAAAGAGGAAGAGGAAGAGGAAGTGAGGTGGAAATGAGATTTTAAAACATGTTTTGTATGCACATGGAAGTGTGTCATTTTTTATGAAGGAAGTGAGGGCAGAAGTAGGTTCTGTGGGTATGGAAGTGGAAGTGAGATCCACCAATTTTGATGAAACCGGATTCTCTAGAGAAGTGAGATCCTTGACTCCCTGTACCAAAGAACCTATTTTTTCAGTTCCACTTCCACTTCTCCAATCCCAATTCTGTGCTACCAACGGGGCATTAATATTGACTGTTGATTCACAGACGGAATGTAGCCTTGGTATATTGGACAAGCTTTGATTCATCTTTCTTTCTTCCTCCCATATTCTTTGGACTTTGAATCACCTTTTCTCTTTTATATAATTGGTTATTGTAGATTTTATTAATTGATTTGTACTTGTGTTCTGTTTGGATATAAGTTTGTAGGCTGAATCTTTCTTGTAATTTGTCCTTATAATTGCTATCTGGTTTGTTTATTTTGCAGGTCGCAAGGTATGCTGTCAAATTTGGTTCACTAGCTTTAAGTTGTTACGCTTGTCATAGACTAACGAATATGTGCCCTCATGAAGCAACTTGGGTTAATCAGAAATTGCTTTAGTTGGAACACTGTTGCATTCAACTTTGAGGAACAGTAACTTGTTCAAAATTAATTGATCCTTTTGAACTTCCTATTGTTAATTTATGGTGTGTTACCTTGCGATGGCTAATTTATTTATTTATTTATTTTTTGCTTAAGAACGAGAGGGGCTGCATACCTTTTTGTAGACTTTGCTTTGCATTACCACTATATTTAGATTTCTGGTATTTCAGGGAAAGTAGAAGTATCATCTGTTGTTTATAAAGTTGGTGAATGCATGCAAGAACTGATAAAATTGTGGGAGGAATTTGTATCATCTCAAATGGAAAAAACTGGTGAAAGCACTGGTAGTGGTCCAACTCTTGAAATTCGGATACCAGCTGAGCATGTTACTGCTACTAACCGCCAAGTAAGATCATAATGCTTTGTATTATGGGTGAGTTTTTGTTTTTCGGGCAGGGGGAAATTGGTGGCTTTCTCCCCATATTGAAGACTTATCCTCCTTGTCGCTGCCAAGAAATTTTTATTTCTTTCTTTGTTTTGTTGACACACATTTATTAGCTTTGTGAAATGTTGTAGTTGTATCACCTAAGTTTGGATATAGTAGTTATATACTATAAGATGATCTTAGGATTGTGATTTTCTTACCATGTCTTTCCCTTCCCCTTCCCCTTCTCTACTTTTATTCAGTCTTTTCTTTTCACCTCCTCTTTTCCCAAAACCAAAAAAGATGCTCCTTCTGGTTTTATCACTAGGCCATGTGACTTATGATGCTAGAAGTGAAAGCTAATTTATTTGCTGTTGTGACTACAGCAAGTTTGTTTAGAAAGCGTTATGGTTTGAATTTTGTAAAATATGGTTGAATGGGAACTTCTATTTTGTTAAATGTTAAGTATTATATGGTTCAGGATTAAAAAAAAGAAAAAAAAATTACGCCATTCTTAGAGGTATAAAGACCTTTTATAATGCCCTTTCCCCCCTCCCTTTTGTTGTTGGAGAGGAGGGGAGATGTCAATGGTTGAGCTGATGGACTTATCTGGGGAGATGGAAGTCTTTTATTTGTTGTTTCTGTTTTGTTACTATATGTTTGAAATAATGATAGGATGAAATGTTAATGCATGTTTTTCTGACTAATGCTCGCCATGTCTTATGTTTAATTGATATGTTCAGGTTAGAGGAGGCCAACTATGGGGAACTGATGTGTACACATATGACTCAGATCTTGTTGCTGGTATGTATTGCTTAGAATATAAAGTTGTTAACTTCTGATTGCAAATTTCAGGAGGCTTCATGTTTTAAAATTTTAACTAGTGCTAGTGTTGCAATTTTGTTGCACAGTTCTCATGCATACAGGTTACTGTCGACCAACGGCTTCTCCACCTCCTGCAGCAATACAAGAGTTGTGTACTGTTATTCGGGTGCTGCCTCCTCAGGATTGTATGTCCATTAGCCCTATCATTCTTGACATAAAACATCTTGACTTGAAGGTCTGAAAGATGCCCGGTGGACTGTGGCTATATTTTCTAACCATATTTTGGTTTTAATGTTAATGTTAATGCTAATGATAATTTTTAAATCCCTCTATGGTTTGGAAGAAAGAGATGAGAATTAGTTTATTATTATATCATTGCTTGCTTATATGGTGAAAATTATATATCTTCTGGTTGACTTTTGGTTTTGCTATTGAGCACCATATGGAGTTGTCCTATTTTTTTTTTGGTCAGAATGGAGTTGTCCTATTTATTTGTTCTTTTCAGATGTCTGGAAAGTTGATATCAGCAAAAATGAAGCTGAAAATATGAAGCTAAACTTAAGTATAATAGATTAGTATGAAAGTAATGAGGGGAAAAGCCAATTGAGCAAATGAGTATTGGGGCTAGGTCAGATTTTTGAGGAGAATAAGTAGAAGCTATGGTATTTTTCCTGTGCTTCTGAACATTCCCTGAGGATGCTGTAGCATTAGAAAAAAGTAGTTGCTGGAATGCAGAAGTGGGGTTGTGGGGGAGGGAGGGAGGTGGAGAGAGAGATGGGATAATGGGCTAATGTTCCTAACATGATTGAATGTCTAATTTTTCAAATATCTGAATTTTCTTGATATTATCTATATAGAAGTTAAGCGATATGTTTTGTTGATTATCACGCTCTACAACCCAGTGGTGTGCAAGCCTCCATTAGCAGCTACGGTTGCCATTTACCAAACCTGGTCATGTCATTAATGATGTTATCAGATCTGATCACGTAATTGGTACCTTAATGGAGCCTCAAGGGCCCTTTCTTAATTAATTCTAGGTTGATCCAGATCATTTCTTCATTTTTCTGTTATGTCCTCCTTTATGTACATATTTTCTTTCCATTTTTTGAGCCCAAACAGTCATATGCTGACCAGCTGTTTTATGGGCCAACTAGTATGCTAATGCACGGGTGTACCTTAGACCATAGGCTTGTGCATCACATGAGTGTGTCCTCCTCTAGATGCTAGCTTGTGCGATCCTCATGGCATTCTAAGATTGTAGCAATGCCTCAAAACAAATTTTGCTTGTGATCCACTAACGTGACAAAATGTAATTACCAATAAAATAAACATTTCCCAAACCCAATGCAAATATACAAAGCAGAGAGCCCAAAACAAGCGATGCCTATCAAATCCTACCACTATTTATAACTTAGTGGCTTCCTTCAAAAAATATATAATGATTTATTTGTAATAGATTATGGGCCGGTTTTTGGCCCTAATTCATATTTATGCTCCTGCATCTTATTGAGGAGTAATCAGAACAGAATATTCAATCTATTGCTATTCTTGCTTCATCTAACCTTCAAGTTTTCAAGGTAAGACTGACGTGTCCCTATCAAGAAGGTCTAATTACAAGCGCATAAATTTGCTGGAGATTATGTTATTACAAATTGTATGAATTGAAGAATGGTAGGGAGAGAAGAATGAACGAGCAAGAAAAGGAGGAATAAGATTGATACCTTCTGGGCTGAGGTCTGTTATCTTTAGGATAGATTTACAAGGTTGAAATGAAAAATTCTGATGACATTAAATCTAATACTCAAAACTTAGTAATAGGAATAGGCAGAATTAGGAACATGTAATTTTTCATGAGGTTTAGACTTGGTCTTGAAATTTAAAGCATAAGGGTTGACTCTTAACAAAGAGGCACTCAAATGTGCTAATAATAGAGGAACTTCTTGTATCTCAAATAATCATGGCTACTGCAGCAAGTGTATTGGAACTTTGTTATTTATGTATCCGAATGATTTGCTTTAATTGATCTATGTCCTTTTAGGGGGAAATTAGCCATGCTCCTGTTTGTCTCCTACCTTTTATCTTTTGTGGTTATGGATATTACTGTTTCCGTCAGAGCTTTATTTGGATAATGTAAATATTTTGGTTTCATAACCAACAATAGGTTATATTTCTACCCTGAGAAACAATGTTCGCTCTCGTGCTTGGGGTGCTGCAATTGGTTGTAGTTATCGGGTTGAGCGGTGCTGCATTGTGAAGGTACTGACAAAATTACTGTAAACTTTTATTATAGTCCCCATTTTTTCCCTCAAGATATGTGATCTCTCATGTGCATTCTCATCTACCTGTTACATTATTTAGTTTACCAAGTCTGCAACAAATATATCATCCTTTTTTATCTCTTGTATACTTCCCTATCTCATTTATACTTCCCATATGTCTAGAGTTGTATACTAGTTCATGTTAATTTTTGGCCACATGCCTGTCTAATTGAGGACTTAATCTTTGGAAAAGCTTGTCCATGCCAGGGATGGTTCTGCATACTTCTCTATTCCTGTGTTTTTGCACGACCATGTGCATGTACATATTTATAATCCTGTTATTTGGTTGGGTTAGGCCATTGTCAATCTTTATGATTTGATGGTGATCTTAACTGTTTTTATTTCATTGGTTTTCAGAAAGGAGGTGGAACTATTGATCTTGAACCTTGCCTTACACATACATCAACAGTTGAGCCCACCCTTGCTCCATTGGCTGTTGAACGGACAATGACCACTAGGGCTGCAGCTTCGGTTTGTCCCTCCTCTTACAATTCCAAACCTTTTACCTATAGAACATTATTTTAGACTTATTACTATTTGGTCCTTTCGTGTTCTCTCCTGGATAATAGTTGAATTTAAATTCGTTTGTCTTTTACATTACAGTATTTGGATGTTGCATCTTTATTTCCTGATTTGTTCACTCTGTCATCTCCTTATATTATCCTTTTAATATTTTATATTGGTTGGTTTTATAGTTGCTGAATTTGTGGGATTTAATGTGGTCATTATGATTTTAATGTTAAATCCTATTGATGTAAAACTTTATTAATTTAACAACAACAACAACAACAAGCCTTTATCCCACTAGGTGGGGTCGGCTACATGGATTGCAAGACGCCATTGTGCTCTATCATTTATTAAGCTTTTAGAAATATTATTAATTAAGAGATCACGTTCAACAACTTCCAAGAGGGTTCTCTTAGGCCTTCCTCTACCTCTCTTAATCGGACTCAAAGTTATATGTTCCACTCTTCTCACTGGTGCCTCCCTTGGTCTTCTTTGTACATGCCCAAACCATCTCAACCGATTTTCTACCATTTTTTTCTCAATAGGTGCCACCCTCACTTTTTCACGTATGTGCTCATTTTGAATTTTATCTTTACGTGTATGTCCGCACATCCATCGTAACATTCTCATCTCTGCTACTCCAACTTTATGCTCTTGCTGTCCCGTTAGAGCCCAGCATTCACTACTATATAACATTGCCGGTCTGATAGCAGTACGATAAAACTTTCCTTTAAGTTTATTAGGCACCTTACGGTCACAAATAACTCCTTTAGCTTTTCTCCAATTAAACCACCCAGCTTGAATTCTATGTGAAATATCTCCACTGATTTCGCCATCATTTTGAATAATGGCTCCCAAATATCTAAACTTTTCCACTTGAGGTATGATTTGATCTCCCAATTTCACTTCCAAATTATTTTCGAATAGTCCTTTACCAAATTTACAATATAAATATTCCGTCTTACTTCTACTCAGACGAAAACCTTTCGACTCCAATGTCCTCCTCCATAACTCGAGTTTGCAATTAACCTCTTCTCTTGTCTCTGCTATAAGAACTATATCATCCGCGAAGAGCATACATTTCGGGATTTCCTCTTGAATATGTTCCGTCAAAACATTTAAAATCAAGTTGAACAAATAAGGACTCAGAGATGATCCCTGATGTAGTCCAATCTTTATAGGAAAATCCTTTGTTTGACCACTAGGCGTTCTTATACTAGTTTTTACCCCCTCATACATATCTTGTATGGCTTTAATATAAGCAATCCGTACTCCCTTTTTTTCCAACGCTTTCCAAAGCACTTCTCTTGGTATACGGTCATAAGCTTTTTCCAAATCAATAAAAACCATGTGTAGATCTTTATCTTTACAACGATACTTTTCCATTAATCCCCTTAGTAGATAAATTGCCTCTGTAGTTGATCTACCTGGCATAAAACCAAATTGATTCTCAGAAATACTTGTCTCCAATCTCAACCTGTGCTCAATTACTTTCTCCCACAATTTCATTGTGTGGCTCATGAGTTTAATCCCTCTATAGTTAGTACAATTCTGAATATCTCCTTTATTTTTATAAATAGGAATTAATGTACTTCTCCTCCACTCATCAGGCATTTTCTTGGACCGTAAAATCACATTAAATAACTTAGTTAACCATCTCACCCCTTCTTCACCTAAACATTTCCACGCTTCGATAGATATACAATCAGGTCCGTTAGCTCTACCATTTGCCATTTTCTTAAGAGCTTCCTTTACCTCCTTATCACAAACTTTATTAATTTAAATCAATAAGAAAATTAGAGCGCCATAGCTGCAGATTCTCTGGTTTGTCTCTTCATCAAAAGCATCAAACAGTTTGTTTCAGCCGTTTTATTCAATCTATGGGACATTTAATTCTTTTTTCGCTATTCATATTTTGTATGTAAATTTTTAAGTTTATGATGGAGATCCAAGAAAGCATGGTGAACTCGCTATTTAATAGTGTTTGAGGCAGTCTAGTATTGTTTTCATTAAGTTTTATTTAGCTTAGCCTTTCTGCTATTTTTGGGTTGTATCATCTTATTTGATGGCCTCCTTATTCATCAGAATGCATTGCGCCAGCAAAGATTTGTTCGAGAGGTCACGATACAGTACAACCTCTGCAATGAGCCTTGGTTTGTTGGCTTCAGTCTCCTATCTTTCTGTGCTTATATAATATTTGCTATTGCAAAAAGCTTGATAATATTTTCAAATGCCTGTTGTAAATATAATGCTTGATGTTAATTAAAAAAACAGAATATTCTGCATGTATCTTTTCGCATTAGAGATTTGATTACTTTTGCATCTGATTCGGATATGATTTACGTTCCTTGTGTGGATGATAGTGTCAACTCAAAATCTTATACTTTTTGTTGAAGCACCCGGACCCTATGACCAAATTACTTAAATTACTTTGGTTGGGAGTTGATGCTTACTGAACCCCATTCTCTTAAACTTATTTGCATGTGGTGCTGTCTTGTGCCTTTTCTCTCTTCTAAGAGTTTTTGAATAAGGTGTGTTGTATATATTAATTTAAGCTAATCTTGGGCCTTGATAAGTATTACTTGAGTTGAAGTGGTTCTTGCATGCTTCCTCACCTAGTAGTCGCCCTGCTATTCAAATAACAAAGATGGGTGAATCTATGAAGTTTAGTCTAGTATACCTGGATCTGTCTGGAATAAAAGGATTCTGTAGCTTGGTCCTGTCCTTTTAATTATTGGCATGTTTCTGAATCTTGATAAAGAGGCAGGTTTGATGATAGTACGTCATTGAATTACAATATTTATATTAAAATACAAGATGCAACAAATCTACTATTTTTTTTTTTAACTCATCTGAATTCTGGTTATGCTCATCAGGATCAAGTATAGTATAAGCATTGTGGCTGACAAGGGTCTGAAGAAGTCACTCTATACATCTGCTCGTTTGAAGAAGGGAGAAGTTTTGTATTTGGAGACCCATTCGCGCAGGTATATTTTGCTTTGCAGTTCCTGTGCTACATGAATGATTCCCATGGGCTTTTTGGTTACCTTAGACATGTGAGAGCATTGCTTAAATGGTGTACGCAACTAGAATATGCTTGTTTTGTGGAACCAAAAAGGATCGTTTTCCTTTTTTAACAAAATTTGAAGTTTGAGGCTTTGAACAAAATTTGAGTGCCTTTAGTCTTGCTAGTTCTTATAAGTAAGTTATTTTAACAAGAAAGTGACTGTTTAGTCTACGGAATTCAAGGAGTCCTTCGCAATAATCCTGAAAGGCTTACAGTCTGTTTTCTGCTGTAAGTCTGAGATTTTGAAGTCATGAAGACTCTTCCGTTGGATTTCTCCCCCTAATTATGAGTTAATTTCTTGTAGATATGAGCTTTGCTTTACTGGAGAAAAAATGGTTAAAACACCAGCATCACAATCACATGATGCAGACACAGAGAAGTCTCAAAATCACCACTCTCATTCTGCCAATGGTGATAAATCTGAAAGTGATAATGTCATGATTGATGTATTTCGATGGTCTCGTTGTAAGAAGCCTCTGCCACAGAAAGCAATGCGAACGATTGGGATCCCTCTGCCCCTTGAACATGTGGAGGTACTTAAAAAATCACGTATTTCGTTCATTTCACTTGCATTTGAATAACGTCTGTTGAATTATCCTCTCAATTGTAAGAAACTCCCTTACAATTTTTGGAGGTTTGCTGTTGCCTCATGCTTGCTCTGTTATTCCTATTTTCAGCCAATTGTTAAACTTGGTTTTTCATGCATTCGAATTCTAATAACTTGTGAGATCCGTGGTTCATATGAACTCTTGAACCTCTCTCTTGTGTGCCCCAAGATGCAAACTGTAAAGTATATGTAGCTCCTTGCCCTTGTTTTTCTTGTCCTGTTTTAACATTGCAACTTGGTTCTTGTGATCACAATGTTGTGTGGTAATATTGCAGGGTTCTAAATGATTGAAATTTTGATCATTGTGATTTTTAGGTATTGGAGGAGAATTTGGACTGGGAAGATCTACAATGGTCACAGACTGGTGTTTGGGTTGCGGGAAAGGAATATACCCTTGCACGGGTGCATTTCTTGTCCTTGCATTAGTTCATAGATTTTTTTCCCCTTTTTTTAAAAAAACTTTTTTTTAAGTGGGGTGGGAATTGGGATAATCTTATGTCACCATATCACATACAATTTTTTATGTATCTAGAACTCCATGCTGTTGTAATTTATAGGGCATAGCTGTTGGTGTTTCATCTATAAGAGAATTATATGGTGTAATTTATTTTTGTATTTATTTCTAGATATCCTTGCGTATGGACCGCTATTATTCATGGGTTGAAATGAGCAACAGAAATTGTGGGCATGGTCACTATAGAGAAGAGATGAATAAACACACAGCGCCAATCTTGTTTTAGATCAGAAATTGACTTGGCATGAGAGGTATGTGTTTTTATTAGACTGTTTAGGTGAGCTTATTTCAAAATCATTTTGACTAATCAATGTAAAAGGAAAAAGAATCTGCAATGTAAAATTAGGATCTCATCATAATTTGGATTCCTAAGTTTAATATTTATCTCATATTTCAGCACTGAAAATTTTTAAAAAGTCCTCATTTGATATTTGCACTTAGGATGCTCTTACTTGTCATTCTCCCTTGATTTTGACATGTAATAACAGGCTTTGAATATGTTTTTACGAAACCTTATCTCATCTTTAAAATTGATTACGTTTCTTATCCGAACATGCGATTTGATTACATTTCTTATCCAAACGCACGCTGGGTTTTGCGTACATTTTTATGGATAGTCTACCTCAGGGAGTGTAATATTTTTTGGGTCCATTTTCTCAATAATATTCGTCCATTTAGCTGTGGCAGAGCAGAAGGGAGATAGAGGAAATGCTCAAAACAAGACACTTTTGTATAAAATTATATATATCAATAAAATTTATTAAATACACTTTACAATTTTAATTTTTTAAAATAAAAATATAAACTTTAAAAAATGTAATTCATTTAATACTTTACTTATAAGAAAATATTAAGGTGAAAATATAGGGGGAAGGGTACTATTAGAAAAACATGATTAATAAAATTTATTTTGAAAAGTTAAATTTCTCTCAAAAGTATTTTATAATTTGGGATGAAAGTAGTATTTATTATTATTTTTTAAATACATGTCCTTTTGAGATAATTTTAAATACACGATTATATAACTAAAAAAAGGTGTAATCAATGCACATACATATATATAATTTAAATAACGGTTGCTTTGAATTTGATATGATTTTTTCTTCCAAGTGTAATATTCAACTAGAATTAGTCCCCCTGTGATGCATGGGAAAGATTTCGTCATACATGACTTAAAATATTATAATTTTAAAGACATTAATTTATTGCATATTACCACAATGGTTTTTTAATTTGTTAAACAGAATCTTCAACCTATACTATTTTCTTATTTATTTAATATTAATTACTTATATATTATTTTATTATTTTAGGATGATTGTATCATTTATTTAAAGCATGCAGACGGAATTATATAACAACTTTGTACGTTCTAATGTACAAGAAAATATACAAAAGAAATATGTCTCTCTTTTAATAAATGAAAAAAAGCCATAGCTAAAGAATTTCAATGGTGAGAAAATAAAATAAAACAATTTAAATTTCAATGGGCTTTTATTTTATTTATAAAAAAGATGTCAGATATTCAAGAAAATAAAATTTATATCTTATTGATGCGAATTTCATTTGTGTGATGCCATCTCGTCGAATTGATTATTTCTTATCTCACAAGCATCAAACCATTATTGTATAAAAGTTTATATAATGGAAAAAAACATGAAAAAAAAAAAAGAAAGGGAGAAGAGAGAGATATCCAAATGAGTTCATGTAATGAATGAGGGACATTAATGCCATGTACTATATGATGGAATTGGGATTAGAGAAGTGGAAATGGAAGCGGAATCCAAAATTTGAGTTGTTTGATATGACAGAAGCCATTTTCACATGTAACTCACTTCCATCAATTTTGATGGAATTGTGTTCCTTGCTCATACATATGGAATTGAAATGAGTTCTCAAGAATTGAAAATTTTAGGACAATAATACCCCAGCTTATGAATTTTATTGACAACATTACCCCTCCTCCAAATTAAAGCAAACCCTATGTAATATTAGTTTGAGAAAAGTAAGGGGAGGAAGGAGAGATTTTAGTTTGATTTAAAAACATAGGCAAATAGAATTATAACATTTTAATAGAGAGAAAGTGAAAGAGAAAAATAAAAAAAAAGAAAAATTAATTAAAAACTTTCAACCATATTTCTCTATTTTTTAATATCAAACTCATCAAAATATAAACAATATATTAAAATGATGCCAAAAATTTAGATAACATTTGTCATTTTTTTTAATTTGTCAACTACATGGATATTAAAAAAATATTAGTAGCAACCTGAAATTCAAAATTTATTATCCTTTGCAAATTAAAAATATAATAAAAAACTTATTTTATTTCATAATTTTTTTATTCTAATACATGTTAAAATTTTAAATAATACCTTATTTTATTTTATAATCTTTCACCTCGTTATATTTAAAACTTAGTCTAAATAAGAATGCAAAGAAATATTTAATAATTTACTATTCATAAGAATTAAAAAATTTAACAACATACTATAGCTCATAATTTATTACCCCATGTATAATGCATTGTTATAACTCATTTAAAAAAAATTTAAAAATAAAAATGTAAAATAAAAAGACAAATTAAAAATCTAAGAATTTCATAAAATTCAAAAAAATAAAAAACTGAAATAAAAATGTTAAAAACATTTTTTATGTTGTTAATTTTTTAATAAATATATTTTAATAATTTATGATTAAAAATATTTTAAAAAATATATGTTTTTGAAAAAAAATAAAAATATTAAGTGTAATAGATGTGCAAATATTTTAACAACATTTTTTTATAACAACATATTATAACTCAGAATTTATAAACCCATATATAATGTGTAGTTATAAGTTATTTAAAAATATAAAATAAAAAGATAAATTATAAAACCTAAGGATTTCATAAAACTCACAAAAATAAAAATCTGAAATAAAAATATTAAAAACAGTTTTTTATGCTGTTAATAAATATATTTTAATAATTTATTATTAAAAATATTTTTAAAAATGATTTTTTTAAAATAAGAAAAATATTAAACGTAATTGCCTCGTACTGTATATTTACTGTACATGTACAGTAAAAAGCAATTAACAGGCACGGACCACGGCATGAGCTCCGCAAGTATGAAAGGGGAAGAAAACGGGGGCAACATTGGTAATCCACTGTTCATAGATTGTTCCCAAATTTATTTAGATGTAGATATATCGATGTACAGTGCACTAACAGGATACTTCTAGTTAAAATCAAGAGGACAAAAAAACAAAAAAGGAAAAAAAAGTAAAAACCACAGTGTCATTGGAATTGTATTTTCCCGATGACCACTAATCCCTGTCTGGTTATCTAAGGAATTGGTGAAGATAAGTTAGAGGATTTTGAATTAAGAAAAGAAAAAAGCTAAATTACAATTAGCCATATTACAATTGGCATTTTCCCTTGGAATGATGTCAAATTTACGGCTCTAGTTGCTTACAAAGCTTTCATCACAGTTTTGTGTTCCTTTTAATGGTTATTTTCGAGCTCTTCAGGATTTTAGAATGAAACAAACTATGTATTTGCATGGTGGAGGTGGTAGCTCCAGGGTCCCCCATAGCAATGCAGACGCTGAGTCTTAGAGGAGAGAGATAGTGCAGTTGGTGGCAACATCAGACAGCAAAATGGTAGGTCGATTTTGGAATTTTGCTCAAAGAACAGAGTCACTGCCAACTACATTAAAGGTATTCACGAGACAGGACGAGAATGAAACACCCTTATCTTGTGTCTCGTATTTTAAAAAAAAAATTGAGACTGAATTTTTTTTCTCCCATGATTTGTCCAGAAAATCATTTCATCCAGTTAGAAATTGGGACAGGATTTGGATGTCTCACTGTCCTAATAAATCGAACAATGTCAGAGAATGATCTGAATAATAATATTTATTAAAATTTTAAATTATATGATTTATTAAATTTAAAATCAAAACAATACAAATACATAAATCATAATTTAAAATCAATTATTGAATCGCATTAGTCACAATTACACATTATGATAGCAATTACAAGTAATTTTTAGGCTATAAGAGCAACAACAACAGACAAGGCAAGCACAACAGCAAATCATTGTTCTTCTATTTTAGTTGAGATGTGCTAAGTTAATTACTCTTCTGAAAATAAAACAAAAAATATGATATAAAAAAAAGTTATTACATGAATAGATATAAGAATAAATTATATTAATATAATTAATACATTATAAAGAAATATATCACCCTAATTACTCTGTCATTAAAATTATCAATATAAAAAATTTTAATTTTATATAAGATTTGCAAGTGTTGAAATTATAATTGATATAATTAATATAGGTATAAATTATATTAATATAATTAATATATTTAATGTATATTTTTAAAATAAAAAATAATATATATAACATTCAAAATGGGACGGGACGTCCTGATAGTAATTCCATGTCCTGTCCCATCTTGATTGTTTTTAAATTAAGATAAAACCTGTTTTGATATAGTTAAAATAATATTGAACCAATCGAGATAAATACTTGCTGAACGTCCCTAACCTACACTGCTGCTGGAGACTCAGATCAGGAAAGTTAATGTTGTCTCTGAACGTGTCAATGCTATTAATTTTCTCATGAGACAAAGTCATCCCTTTTGAGATATCATTCAAGAGGCTAGATTAATTATAGGCAGAAATTGACTTGTCAATCTTAATTTCGTGCATAGGAATTATGCTAGAAATACTGACAGTATGACTAAATTTGCTCATACTTTGTCCTCAAATAGCTATTTCTTTAACCATCCTCCATCTTTCATTAGGGAAGAGGAGGAATGGGAAAGAAATGAACACTCATTTTTTGATCTTGTGACCTTTCGGTCTTCACAAATCACTTTCTATTCAAATAAAAAAAGCTTTCATCACAGTTGGTAAATCCTATTAATGGGGAGCACAATGGTTGAGTCTAACAGAAAGATCCCATCCTCTAAAATGTAACAAACTAAGATTTAAATTACTACAGAAAAAATATTCACATTTAGCATCCAATCATGTTTTAAATACGATAATTTCTAATAGAAAAAGCCTTGTGAGCAACAAAAATTAGGGAGGAAAAGCACTGGATCCAATTTTATGGTCTATTCTCCCAAGTGTGGTTCCTTACCATGGCTGTAACATGGACATCACGCAAATCTAATCAGATAAAAATTTGATATAAGCGCCACCTGAGGCTAACTTACTGTTACGATGCGTCATGCATTAAATCTACACTCCCATGGTGTAACAAAAAATTAATATAAACACCCACTACATTTCTATTTTGACAAAAACAAGGCTTGATTGTTTGACATAAACATGAAAGGTCTATATCAAACTTTCATGCCACACAAATATTTGTTGACCCAAGCATCATGTGGTATGCAGGAGGTCGTCTGCAGATGATTAAGTTAGATGGCCTTCTGCAAAAAACCCAAAAGTCTTGAGTCACCAGTCATGTAATTTCTGCTGCTCCGAAACTCACCACTCATTCCATTTATTCAAGAAGTCGTCCCACATGGCGGTAGCAATTGAATCCCTCAACGAGAATGCAAGTTGTTCTTCCATTGAAGAAATCGACTGAACAGCAGGAACTTCATCATCTGCCATCTCATCCACTGGTGTGTCTCCGACAGTTTTAAACAACCAATCATTTCTTTCCTGCTGGCGGATGAAATTATGCAGAACACATGCAGCTATTATAATGTCCCTCTGAACATGAAAAGAATACTGGGGAGCAAGTTTAAGAATAGGAAATCTAGTTTTTAACACATTAAATGACCTCCCTATAGCATTCCTCAGACAACAGTGCCTGTGATTGAATAGCTCCTTTGCATTTCTGGGTAATTGATTAGCACCTCTGTACTCGCAATGATTATACCGAATCCCTTGAAAAGGAGCAATAAACCCTCCCATATTAGAGTATTCCATATCAACAAGGTAATATTTTCCTGTAACAGTTTCAATGAAAATAATTCAGGGATGATAGCTACTTAAAACATAAGTTATAAGGAAATATACTACAACCTAACCTTCAGGAATTTTGGGGAAATTCTGATCTGGGTTATCAAGAACTGCCCTTAACACATGTGAATCAGTAACGGATCCTTCCCAACCAGGATAAATGAATATGAATTGTAGGTCAAATGTGCAAGCTGCCAGCACATTTTGAGATAGTAAACCTTTCTTATTACGAAATCGAGATTGATCTTTGGCTGGGACATGTGCAGGAATGTGCATGCCATCAATTACTCCAATACAATCCTGAATTAAAAGGCACATGCAATGAAACATAGGAGAATACTTAAACAGGGAATAAGGAAGAGTAGTTATCAAACAAACCTTGAAATATGGGTAAAATCTATTGCTACTGAGAATTTCAGGAGATGTGGTGGTGTCAGGAGGTTGCAGGAATTCACGTGACAGGGACTTAATAGCCTTCAACACATTGTTAAAATGTCGGCTAATGGTTTCACCAGAGTGCTGAAACCGCTCTTGAATCACTCTATTGCGCTCATTATGACCAATAATATTTAAGAATATTGTCAACTGCTCCTCTATCATTACACCAGAAGTATCACGCAACAAGGATCTTTGTCGAAGAATGTCACAAAACTTGTGAAAAACATGCTTGTCCATCCGCAACATTTCCCGACTAAAGTCATCATGAGCATTCAGCATTTCCGTCATAAATCCACATCTTCTAGGTGATAAACTATGGCAAGGTTGTTTGGTTATACAGTTATAGTAATAGTACCCAGCAGCTGCTGCAACTAGCTCCATCTCATTCAATTCTAAGTCAATGTCATCCATGCTGATTGACGTATCTGAAAAGATAAACCTCAAGGGTGCGAATGGTTCAAGATAATTCTGATATATCAAGTTAATAACTTTAGAAAGTTTCCCAATCAATGCATTAAAGGATATGACAAACAACTGTTACTACTAAAAAATGCTATTTTAGCATTCAAAATGCCAGATTGTTAAAACTAAAAGTGACGTAGGCATTACCCACAAATCAAATTGACCACTACAATAACTTTTTTGCACTACACTGGATTTTACAAAAGTATAGGATCATATTTGATAAAAAGAGCCAGTTTTCCAAACATTTCAAAAAGAGGATGCGCCACACTTGCCCTGCAACCACAGCAATCTTTTTTCACTCTTTAGTGAGATAAAAATCTCTCGAGCAATAGGATTCTCAAATAAATCCAAAGCAAGAAAGTAGATCCGTTCATCAACACCTTGCATCTCATCCAATACTTTTATGCATTTGCTTATAGAGAACCGGTCCTCATTCTTCATAATTGCATTTGCTCTCATCTTTGAAACAGCTGCTATTTCCAGCATGGCGTCCACTATAGCATCCCCAGTAGCTTTGCGACTTCTCTTCCGCCGGCCAGAACTTGAAGGCACACCAGCCTGACGCTTGTGTCCATCTATCATATGCTCATCTCCAGAGCCCGAAGATGCATCTTCCTCCCCAAAATTCATTGGCACTGTACGATCAGTATATATGCCTTAGATGTCAATGCGTATCACAAACTCGTATTCTTTTAGACTTCCACCTTAAAATGAAAAAAGAAAAAAAGTAAAAAATAATCTAAACCCAACAAAGAATTTGAATTTTGAACAACACGAAGCACATCAAGATAGCAGAATGGCAAAATCATCAATCCATTAAGCAGTTTTAATGTATGCACTCAATAGGTATGCAACCCTAAACCATAGCAGGACCACCTAAACTTTCTAACGAAAAAGCATTCTTCATCTTTCTTTTTCGCGTGGAAGCTTTATTGGAGATGGAATAATATCTAATAATTATTAGACCGTTATTGAAAGACTAACTAAATCAGCTACCTATACACAATCTTTAGAGAATTATTCAGTTCCTTCTCAATCAGTTAAAACGCCAAACAAAGCTTCAAGACGGATGAAAAATTCAAGCGTAGCCCGAAAACCAACTTAATCAAACCCTCCCAAATGCCCCTTAAATAAGAAGGAGGAAAAAAACTTTTAACCAAAAAGGCTCAAAACAAAAAAAAAAAAACCTCGGGAGTAAAGGGTGAAAACATCAGCAAACTAAAATTCAATCATCCAGCAGGATCATTATTTGCCAATGGGATACGATCACCTTGAGCAAGAATTTAGAGTCTAATCATCGATTGAAAAGGTCAGAAATTTGATATCAATCTCCTCAATTTTCTGGAAATGAATCAGAAGTCAGAATACAGAGATATACAGTAGCAAGAAGCAAAACTCACCGTCGGCTTCACAAGGTGGAAATTTTCTAACGAAGCTTCACGAATTGGAATTTCTCGAATCAGAAATAGAGTGAGAGGAAAAAAGAGTGATATTGGGGTTTAGGGCTTAAGAACATATCAAGTGCTCAATGACTCAATTCCAGCGTCCTGCGTGCATAGTTTAGAGGCATGGAGTTTAATTATTTTATTTAAAGTTCATACGTAAAATATTATTTTAGGGAATACATAAAAAAAATTACTTTGGGAAAATTTTTCCCAAAAATCTCTCAAATTAAAAGCATAAAAATTTTAAATGATGGGTCTTTTGATTTTGATAATTTCATTTCATTTTTAAATATAATTTATTGTTTAAAATATAAAACATTTTTAAATACCTTCACAATAATTAAAGAAAGCAGTTAAATGTAGTTTGTGTTATTAAATGAGTAAACAATTAACATTACCTTCCAATTAAAATCAATATATCATAATTATCTTTAATTTCTTTTTTATATAATTTCTCTCTACAATATAATGATATGGGCATTTGTGAAAGTGAAAGAGAATAATTTAACATTTGGAGGAACATATATTATACTTTGGACCGAAGCAATATGTACTATTAAAGATTTAAGTTCTTGAAATAAATTATGCCCTTTAGGGTAATAAATTTTTTAAATGGGATCAACAGTACGGCAATTTTTTTCTTGAGAAAAATTAAATATTCTATGAAAAAACTTAAGGTAAGGTTATGAAGAATGCTTTTTGAAATCAATTTTTGATTTAAAATTTCACATTTAAAATATATATATTTAAAATTTTTTTATTTAAATGTTGTAAAAAAATTTGAAAGTATAAAAGAAACAAGTTGAAATTTAAAGTTGAAATAGAAGATTGAGAGTAACAAGTTTATTTTTATTTTTTTAATTAATAAAAAATGAGGAAAAAGTCAAAAATAATGAAAACATCAATAGTGAAAAAATGAAGAGAAAAAAAAAAGAGAGAAAGAATTTGAGAAGTTGAACTTTAAATAATTAAAATTTTTAAAAATTTTGAAATTACAAGAATGTTATAATAAAGTATAACATTCTGTTTAAATCAAATTCAATTATATACATTTTTATATATTTAAATGAGAAATTTATTTTGAATTCAATTCTTAGTACATAACACTTAAAAAAAAAATCAATAATGAGGAAACCATTAGGCATGTAGTTACATACTCATTTTACATTTTATTCCCTCTAATCTCTGTTATAACTTTTATTCATCCTATCAAAAAAGAGGTGACATATCATTAATTTTGTTTGAAAATTAAATAAATTTTCAAATTTACTCACATTTTAAACCATGAACTACAATGCATCAAGAGAAAAAACCAACTATATCCTAGGAAGCCATAGAAAATTTTTTCATTCTAGAATGTGCTTCATATAGGCTGGTTTGGAAGCTGGTTTTGCTTAAACCTTTTTGATTAAAAATCATTTTTTTAAAAAAATCAAAACAATCATGACATCAAAAGGAGGAAGATTTTTTCTTGTTTTGATAAGTTACTTTGAGTGTGTTTTAAAAATAATCATGTATGGTAAAATTGCAAACATATGCAAAAATATCATAAAATTTTAAAATAAATAAATAATAAATTATTATTTATGAATAGAGATTCACCAAGATATCATAAAATCTAACTAAATAATAATCACTTTTTATTATTATAACAAAACATAAATAATCTCTATTTTTATGTAATGTCTAACAAATAAATATCTTTTCATAATATATATAAATCATCTAAAAATTATTTATTTTTTAAATCTTAAACAGGGGGTCCAATAAAGATGATTGAGAGTATCATAGTTTATATAAAATAAATACTCTATCAATTAAAAATATCTTATATTTTTTAAGAGGTTAAATATTAAAAAATATCAAGTATTTATAATGTTTTAAGGTATACTTATTATATTTTTTCTGTCAAAAGTGTTTATAATAAATAAATCACTTTATATTTACTTTAAATAAAAATATCTTATTAAATAAAAATAAATATGATGTTAACTTGAAGAAAATTAACTATTTTAAGAGGGTAAAATTTAATTAAAAATATCTAATATTTTTTGACAGACTAAGTATTTAATTATAAAAAAGTAATATTTTAAATTTGAAAAATATATATTAATGATCAAATCCAATATTAATATTTTAAATTAAATCTCTTATTTGGATACATAAAAAATACATGGTGATTTAAATCCAAATTTATTTCTTATTATATTTTTTATAATTTTAAATTCTCTTTATTTGAAATTCCCATCATTTCAAACTTCTCATTTTTTACTATATTTTCACTATTGATATTTTTATGATTTTTGTATCTTTTTTCATTTCCCATTCTCTTTTCTTATGTATTAAAAAATAGATTCATCACTTCTAATTTTTTGTTTTCCTTTTGAATCTCAAATTATTTTTCTTCTTCATCTGCAATTTTCTAAACTACTTAAACAAAAAAATTTTAAATATTATTTTTAAAATGCAATATTTTAAATCTAAAATTGTAATTCTAATCTACTAATCCAAGCCTTGCCTAAATATATTTTAATATATTTGAAATATTAAAATTGCATAAGATAGGTAAGCATACGGATGGATTGTTTCAGACCAGAAATATCTGCATCCCATCTGCAGCCAAGTTTCACACATAACCTCACTCAACTCAGATTCATAATCATGAATCTGACACGACTGTCAGCGATCCAAATCCGGATTAAGTTGCATTTCATTAGGCTTGGCACCACCAGGAAGATCAACCAAGAAGCAAGCCACCAATCTCAATGTGCTTTCGTACCTTTTTTCTCCATCAAGTAATTGCCAGGCCAGCATCAAGAATGTCCACATTGGTTCCGAGATACGCTCGTCAAGGGCCCTGCGATCCATATAGCTTCAACATCATCTCTGTGAGGAATTTTCACAAACATGTTCTCGGCAATTCTGTCTCTGTTTTTTTTAATACATGATCACGGAACTCATGCAGTCCAATCATATTAAAATACATGATATTTCTGCACCCAGTAAGTAGCTCATCAAAGATCATTACGTCAATATCATCATTGAATGCTTTGTGAGCAAGTACATCGACACATCTCTTTACTTCTTCGAACGCATGGTTAAAAATAATTGTCTAATCTCTCAAACAACAGCCTTAGGCAATTCTCTAAATAGCCATGGAGGCATCACATTGTTGCATTAAAAATAATTTAGGTTCATCTTGAGGGGGGTAGTGAGTGAATGGTAGTAAGATCCACCATGAGACCCCATTTAGTTTGATAGAAGTATCAAAATATTATGAAAAAATTAATTTTTTAGTCTTTCAATTTTTAAGTCACTTATAACTCAATCTCTCAACTATGACTCGTTTATAACTCAGTTTCTCAACTTTTAAATCACTTACAAATTAGTCCCTTAACTTTTGTTAATTTTTTTCATGTTAAATTATATCTCACATCAATGAGTAAGAGGAGGACATTTTAAAATAATATATGGAAAAAATTAATCTTTTAATCATTCAACTTTTAACTTACTTATAACTCAGTCCCTCAATTATGACTCGCTGTGACTTAGTCCCTCAGCTATAACTTGCTACGACTTAGTCCCTCAACTTTTGATTCACTTATAATTTGATCCTTATTTTTTAATTTTTTTAAAAAAAATTTCTTATCAAATAAGAGAGATAAAAAAATATTCATATGTTATTTTAAAATACCCTCCTCTTGCTCATTGATGTAAAATATAAGCTAACATGAAAAAAAAATTAACAAAAGTTAAGGGACTAATTTATAGGTGATTCAAAAGTTGAGGAAATGAGTGATAGGCGAGTCATAGTTGAGGGACTAAATTACAAGTAACTTAAAAGTTGGAAGACTAAAAAATTATTTTTTTTCTAATATATGAACATTTTTTATCCCTCTTATTTGATAAGATTTTTTTAAAAAAAATTAAAAAAAAGGATCGAATTATAGGTGAATCAAAAGTTTGAGGGATTGTGTCGCAGCGAGTTATAGTTGAGAGATTGAGTCGTAGTGAGTTATAATTGAGGAATTGAATTATAAGTGAGTTAAAAGTTGAAGAATTAAAAGATTAATTTTCTCAAATATCATATAAAACATGACTCCCATGTGTACTGATGGCTTGCTTCTTCTTCTTCTTTTCTTTTCTTTTTTTTTTAAATTGTGCTACATTAATTCAAATAAGAAAACAATAAAATTAATTCATATGTATCATCCAGTTCTTCTCATCATCCACCAACTCCTTAAAAAGAGGTTGTGATTGATAAAAAATATAAAAGTTACCTAAACTATTAAAAGTATAATTTGCAAGATTATGGGCACAAAAGTTGGCCTGCCGATACATGAAACTCAAGAACTTGAATCTAATTTTGGTCAGGCAATTTTGTGCATGCTTAATGACATCTTTGAAAGGGTATTGGTTCACATATGCCCTACTAAGCAAGTTCATGACCTCTATATAATCAGTAAACACATTCACTCTTTGAAGACCTAGACTGCAACATAATTCCAAACCATGTATAATGCCAATAATTTCAACAATAGCAAGCAGCAATTGACCAATATTTGAACTAAAACTAGCAATCTAGTTAGCATGACTACCTCTAATCACATCTCCACATTTCGAAAAAAAAAAAATCATCTTTAAAAGACCTAACAATATCTAAATGCACTTCATTTTCAGTAGGCCGAAATCAATGATATGTTGTAATCACATCTCCACATTTCGAAAAAAAAAAAATCATCTTTAAAAGAGGGATTGTGAATGCTGTAATTTTATGTTTGCATGTGTCAAAAGAAGCCTCACGTTACCCAAGATGAGAAAGCCTTAGCGTATACATAATAAGATGAGAAATTGGGCAAGTGACATGAACCACGAAGGTGAGTATGAATGTGCATATACGTTGTATGTGAGCAAAGTTGGGCTCTTTCACCAAGAATATTTTGCAAACTTCAAAAATATTTTTAACTGACCCAATTTAATGTTCAAAGCTTTAGAATTTTGCAATACATAATGATGATTAATGATTCAATGTATTAACCTTTTGAATTTTGTAGTGAGTAATGATTGATATGTTCAATGATCAAATTTTTTGAAAATGTCTATTGATGAATTGCTTATCTAGATTCAATGCTCAAGTGCTTAACTCTAAGAGGTTTTAATGGTATTAAATGGTACTCAACATTCATATACATCTATTGCCTATATACGGCATGCTTGCAGATCATTTAGAGCATATTGTTCTTGAGCCTTTAAGTATTCCTCTTCCATCTCCAAAGTTCATCTTTTTAATTTGTGTATTTCTTTTGCATAGGCACCCTTTTTTGCAAGAAGGAAGGGTTCTTTAATCCTGAGGAGTTGCTGTAGTTAACATATGTCCTTGAGCACAACTCCAATTAAATTATCTAAAAGAATTTTGAACAGGGAATATTCAGAGTAGCCATTACCCTTTATAGGGTTGTTAAACCTAAGCAGATCTAATCCCTTCCCTTTCATCATCAGAGAACATAAGTTTGCATCTAAAGCACCAAATATCTCAACAGACAGGGTGAGAGAGAATATGTCATGGTACTTGTTTAGTAAACTCCTGCTCCGCAAAGTGCTTTAAGACCCTGATTGATATCTAGCCTTATTTTTTTAAGGGATTGGGTATGGGAGTGGAAGTGGTGATAAGTTTTAAAATTGTATTTGGTGTAACATATGATTAAAAAAAAGACTCAAATTTATCCCAAAAAATAGCAAAAAGACAATATTGCTCTAATTTTTTTTCTTCTTCATCCTCTCCTCTCGTGCCTGCTGCCCAGATTCATCACCATCGTCCTAAAAATGGGCATGCTTTTGATAAACCCAAATTCTTCTTGCTAAAAGTAGGAATCATTTTGATGAACCCAAATTCCATCGCTACTTGAACTTACATTTTCCATATTCATCCTCTTCAGCTACTACCTTCGCCACCGTCGAGCTCGCCAGATCTGGACCAAGGAGGTAGAGGGTCTCCGTCAAGAAAATTAGGACTAAGGAAGAAGAAGGGTCGTGGACAAGCTCGCCAGATCTAAATTTGCATAACTAAATCTGAACAAATCCAAGGATGTCGACACAAATGAGCTCACCAGATCTGATCTTTCAGGACGTCGGTGACAAGAACAGACATGGAGTGGAGAGCATACATTGTTCACACTTCACTCTAACAAGGAGTTAGGGACGCTGATCCATCAGGGAGTGACGGCAACGCGAAGATAACTGATGGATAAGAGGGAAATTTGGTCTGAAATTATTTAGTCCCAGGACTGATTTCCCAATACCAAGAGACTGGTGGTATCGGGTAATTCCATGTAGATGAAATTGGAATTGGGATTAAATCTCCCATTGCCTCATACCAAAGATGAAAAGTTGGCATTAGCCAATTCTAGTGCCAATCCCACTTTATCAGTCCAACGTATCAAATATGATCTAAGTTTCAAAAGATCCATTCCTTGCCATCCAAGCTTTTGAACCTATCTGTCTTCTGCTTGTGGACTAATGCCTTGCTTTTTAGGTTGTGATTCATGTTAAAATTTGAATTTTATTTCAAAGAGCATTGTCTTAATGAGACACATGAATTCAACACGTCACCCTAAAAAATCCTAGCCACTTCTTCATTTTCATAAAAAGGAGATCAATACAAAGGAAAGAAGCTACATAAAGTTTATTATCAAGCAAAGGGCTAAGTAATAGAAACCATTCCCTGCCGTATCTACATTCTCCTCTCACTTTTTATTCAAATCAAGATATCATATAAATAGTTCCACAAAGCTGACTCATAATGTCTCCCCTCTAAAATTACTATTTATAGAGCCATTTAAATCACATGGCTTTGTGAGAATGATGGCTACAAATTTAAAAGCTAATATTGAGAGATTGTATTTGAAATAGGTAATTTTGCATAAAGTTAAGTCTGATTGGAGTGTATTGAATACCTCTACTACTATGAGTACTTTAGGTATTCGTGGCACCGACTTGATGGAAATGACGCTTAGACATTGATGGTTCTTATAAGGATGACATTTCCAAATGTGGAAGTATACTGCAAAATATTCATGCTGAGTGGATTGTTGGTTTTCATTATAATGTTGGCCATTTTCCCCCTTGTAATCACTGAGATTATTGATATAATCCAAGGTTTTAACTTATGATGTCATATGAATAGTCATCATGTTCATGTTTTCATTGGCTGTGCTAGGGTGATTAATACCAAGAATTATGTGAGTCACCACCTGTTTAGAGATATCATTTAATATGTTGAAGTTTGCTTGAATCATTCTAGTTTAGTTTCTTGAATTTCATGTATGGTGATGCAAACTTTTGTACCTATTTACTTGCGCAAGATGCTTTAGATAATGTTAATAAGTTTTGTGCTTTTGATCAACCACCACCTTTTTGCCAAGAAGTGGTGGATAATAAAAAAATTAGGTTTATTTTGTAAACTGATATTGCTTGTATCCTTTTTGGATTAATTAGATCATGCATCATTAAAAAATGGGTTTTATATCTAGAATCAAAATTTGAAGGAAAAATCACAATAAAATCTCTTTAAATTATGTAAATGATATTTTAATCTTTTGAAATGTCACAATCTCTTTAAAGTGCTTAAGAACTTTTTCTGTCATTAAGGAATAATGATAATATTTCATCTTAACCATTTTTATAATTTCAACTTATTTTGGAACCTTTGAAAATAGTTGAGGGACAAAATTACACATTAATCATTTTTATAATTTCAACATATTTATTTATTTTCTTTTATAATAATGATTTTATAAAAAAATAAATATCAATTGTTTCATTTTAAATTTTATAAAAATATAAAAACATATTCTATATTTGATCATTTTTCACCTTTTTAACAAGAGGAGGTGAATAATGATTGAGTTGTTCTTTTGTTTTCTTCCCTTGTAATTTTTATTTTGTGAATGTATTTTAGTTTGATAAATGCAAGGGAAACTCATTCCGTGCTCATCACTCTATAAGGGTGATTTGGGCCATTCATTTCTTTTCAAATGATTTCTGCTATTAATTTTAAATTATTTTTTAATATTTTTATATTATATTTATTAAAATAAAAATTATAAAATATTATAATATTAAACAAAGATTATTTTTTATACTTATTAGAGGATAAATATCATGGTACTTATCACTTTTGATAAAATTTAGACAATCTAAATTTAAGTTTTTTATTTTTTATTTTTATGTAAAAAATAGAAATTTTTAATAAATTTGTTTATCACTAATCTGGCCAATATAGATTTAATCTAGATAATTAATTTTTTACAAATTGACTATTTAAATAAACTTTGAATAATACAGATATAATTTGAAAAATTCAACTTAATATTAAAAATTTTATAATTTTTATTTTGATAAATATAATATAAAAATATTTAAAAAGATAATTTTAAATCAACGAAAAGAATCATTTGAAAGAAAATAAACGGCCCAAATCATCCTATAACTTTTTAATCCTTAATTTTTTTAATTATCAATTTAGTTGTCTCTAAATGAAATAAAAAAAGTCTCTAAATTTTAAACTCGAAACAATTTAATTTCTATAATTTTTTAATTTAAACTAACTCAATTTTTGTAATTTTTTAATTTAATATAATTCAATTTTTATAATTTTATAACTCAATAAGTTATGAGTATTGAGCTATGTTGAGTTGAAGTTTCAAAACTAAATTAAAAATTGAAGGAAAGTTAAATTCCTCTGCATAATTTAATGGATACATGGTTAACTTATTTTCTGAATTTTAGATTCAATAACACTATAAATCTTAATCTTATTTATTCTATAAATTATTCCTTCAACTTTTAAAAAATAATATAATTTGGTATTAACAAAAAAATGACTCTCACCGTTTAAACTAAAAAATAACATAAAAAGACTTCAAAAATTATTCAAAAAAAATTGAGTAATTTTTTATAATATTTGAATCCTTATCTCTAATTTTTGGGTCATTTATTGTAATTTTAAATATCATTTTTTGTTTTTTTTTTGATCAATTGAAGGAAAAAATTAACTTTTATTAATAATAGAGGCTAAATTTTTCCATGTTTAAAAGATGAAAAAACAATTTACATAATAAATGAATTCAGGCTCTATAATGTTAATTGACCTAAAGTTTCAAGAAGTAATTAATTTGCTCATTTATCTTAATTTAACCACAAAATTATTCAAGCCACCCAATGTACAACAATGATTATTACATTTTCGGTTCTGTAATTGATTCCATGAAAACAAAATTGATAACCGATACTATACTTGTACAGCTCCTAAATACAGCATCAAACGCAAGCAGCAACTCCATAGATGATGAGCATCCCCATCACTCCCAGGGTTCTGTGATATGATAATTATTGGCCTCCTCTGCAAGAAACTTTAATCTTCCTGTGATGGAGCATTTCAAAGAACACCAAAAAAGGTTTTCTTCTCACTTGGATCACTCAGTCCTCCTGTGAGGTTTCATGTTAGGGTGAAGTCCATGGACATGCTCCTCCATGAAGTCATGGCGTGTCAGAATCCCAACAACTGGAGGTCTCTGCAATATGCAAGGAATATCAGAATATTTTGTAGGCAAAAATGTTAGGTACTTACTATTAATATACCCAATATATAAAATAGGAAAAATAAAACTTGTAGTCCCTAAATTTTGCCTTAATTATCGATTCAGTCCCCAAACTTTAACCTCTAATAACTCAGTCTTTAAATTTTAACTTGTGACAACTCAGTTTTTCTAATTTTTTGACTTGAAACAATTTAGTTCTTATAGTTTCCTGACCTAATAGAACTCATTCCTTATAATTTCTTAACTCAATAAATTACAAAAATTAAGTTGTGTCGAGTCAAATTTCAAGAACAAAATCAATAGTTGAGACTTGAGAGAAAGTTTAGGGATTAAAAGTTATATTATCCTTATAAAATATGAAATTTTTTGCAAGCTACACTATTCATATGCCATGAATTGTGCAATTTACCCTCAGCTCTATGCAATGTACAGCAAATTTGTCCAGTTATTCTGACAAATACAAAACCATGTTAGTACCAACAATAATTATGTTGAGTGATAATGGATTCTTACATGAAGTCTCGAGTTTGAGCTTTGTAAACTGAGAGGGGAAAACATGCTGGGAAAATGTCCCCCAATTAGAACATGACCAGGCTCAAATTTGAATTAAATGGAAATACCAGATACCTCTGATTATAAGAAGAGAAATTCTACTTATGTTATGCTTATAAATCTCTATTATTAACTTAGCCTACTTTCCTTATGTTTATAGTTTGGCCAAAACTGATTATAAATAAACATGCAGCCATACTACTACTCATCTAAGTGGGATCTCACTTCTGCCATATTTATATGTCTATATATCAGCAGTTTGGTTGATCTAATTTTGATATAGACTGCAGTGAAAGAAGAAAGAACCATACCCCTTGACTCTTTGGGACCACACACATGTGCCTAAGACCAAGTTGGCGGAAAAGAATAGCAGCTTTAGCGAGTGACATGGTCTCGACCACCGTGTATGGGGATGCATTGGTAATGGGGTGGAGATCAACATACATATCCATCTCTTCCTCTTCAATTTCCAGATCCTCTAGTTTGATTCCTTTCCCTGATCCTGCCTTTGCAAAATCTAATGCAGAAATTCTTTGTAAGAAGTTTCGACTTGTAAGCACCCTGTCTTTTGAGAAGTTCTTCCCCTTCAATAGCACTAGCAGATGAGACCTAAGAACAAGCCCACACAATTCCGGTGCATCTGAGATTGGTGGTTCATCGATGACCGGAAACCCATTATGCCCTGTGGTTTTCAGAGCATCTAGTATATTCCTTACCATTTCAATCCCAGAGAAGGTAACTAGCGGGCCAGAGACAACATCACGTGCAACTAAATTCCTCATATAAGGTTCTGCATGGGCCTCCATATATGGAAGTCCCTTTATCTTCAGTATTTGATCGTAGACACCCTTGTTAAAGCTATCAGCCACGGTTTTTGAGACCAGCAAGACCAACATCACAAGAGGGAGTAACAAGAGATCATTGGTGAGTTCTAGCAATATAACACAAAGGGAAACTGTCATTCTCATGGTGCCACCAAGGAAGGAGGCAGCTCCGAGGAGGGCGTATAATCCAGTATCAAGTTTGGAGATCGTCTCAAATAGTCTCCCTACAAGCCGGCCATATGCTGCACCCGCCAATATCACAGGAATGAAAAGCCCTGATGGAATAGCAATACCATAAGTGACTACCCCAAGAAAGTAAATAGTTACAAAGAAGATAAACAGGCTGGAGATGTGGAATTCTTTGAATGTCCTGGTGCTGAATAGGTTCCGAATAGCATCATCATTGGTGTTTAGAAAAAGAGAAGCGAGATCATTGTAATATCCTGATGGACATTGAAAACTCTTGTAGTTGCCAGACTCATCAATAGTGGGACAGCTCACCATCGGATCATCGGGACAGGGGATGCATTTTGCCAACCATGGTAGGCCATAAGCACAACATGATGTCAAAAGTGAAATTGTGACCACAATGAAAATTTTGAAACCTGGACCTTTTCTGCATTGGTTTATACGTTATGATATCATCAGTGATGATGGAAAAAGAAAGACAATAAATGCCTAATAAGAACCAAACTCATGTGAAGACATACTCATTCAGGATGCTATATGCACGAACAACCTTATCCACAAAGTAATTATATATGCTTCCAAGAATGCCTCCGAGGATTCCTAGGAGTAACACCGCTAATATATCAGCACCACTGTATGTTACTTTGGCTGCACTGACATCGTACATTATCAAACCACCTTCACCAAATAGCCCACATTTTCCGGTGGCACAGTACTCAATTCCAGCTCTCAAAACAATAGCAACTACTGCTGTAGTGAAAAATGTCCTCCAAAGGAGAGCACTCCGCCACCTAAAGCACGTCACAGAAATAATAAATACATTTTTTTTAAACAAAAGTAAAGAGTAATTAAGAAAACCATAAAATATATCTCAAATTGTTGGCATTGACTATCTCTGAAAGAAAAATGTGTTAAATTATATCCTCTACCTCAACATTTTTGGAAGCTGAATCATTGATAAAACATAGAAAAGGAAACGAGAGTAACAGATTTCTCATTATGAATTTTTGAAGAAAATAATTTTACATGATCTACTTATTGTCAAGAAATTCGATTGGATGGTAACCATTAAGGAAATCTTTTGCGCATTGCAGAAAAGAACTAATGCTCAAAATTAATGAAGTACACTATCGAACACCATTTTATTAAGATAATTTGAAATATAAACAATATGTAAGAAACAAGCAGAAATATCAACAGCTATTCCCTTTCAGTAAGAATGTTGTTAATCTTTGCAAGACAATTTTGGTAATTCTTTTTAGGTGCTTGCTGCTTTGGAGCCAGGCAAGGAAGCCCTTTCTGCCCAATCATATTCCCTCGCTGACCAGAAAGCTTACCTTCTTAGTATTCATGTGTACATTAAATGATTAAGTAATAGCTTAAACCTTAAGGCTTTAAGCAGTGGGTGCTATTGCATCCCTCAAGACTTCAGATTTTCACTAATGCTGTTTTTGTTTGAAGAGATCCCATCATATCATTGGCATCAAGTGTCATTAATTATATCACATATTTATTTAGCAATAGCATTTACAACATACAGTAACCATGCTTTCTATTTTTATTTCTTTCTTATATGACAGCATCTCAAATCTCATGTTGTGTAACATCTCAGTAAATTGTCAAAACCAAATACATATCACGGCATTTTGCTTAAATGGTCTATAACAACCACCCTTATTCCATTAAATAGGGTCGATTACATGAATTGTATGATTTCATTGTACTCTATTAGCAAGCTTAAATTGTCTACAAGCTGAATAGAAATCCAACTAAGCAATTGAGATCTCAAACCCCACCTTTTTTTCTTTTTAAGAGGGGATGTCGTTTGATTAAAGCAAGAGATGAAGAGCAAAGAGATTATTATAAACTACTATTTTCTTTTTTAATGAAAATATAACTACTATTTAATCATTTTATAAACTACCATTTTTTTTTTTGGTGAAGCATGAGAGAATAGTTGCAGAAGAAATAGATACCATGTAGCTGCCTCTTCAAGAGCAAAGAGAACACCGCCTACTGGAGCACGAAATGCAGCTGCAACACCAGCAGCAGCACCACAAGTAATCATGTCTCGCCGGTCCCGATCATTTTTGAAATGCCTTAGCCAATTCCAAGTCAAGCGATACTTGCGAGATCCACCCTGCCCTAACAAGGAAGCAATGCATGCACCCGTGTGTACCATAGGCCCCTCTTTGCCCACGACAAATCCAGCAGAAACTCCAAGGATGGCACCCAAAACCTATTGTAGATAAAATCATGAGCTTTATTGATTAGGTTAATAATTTATTTTTTTGGTGAATCGGTTAATATTTTATGAAAAGATCAAACGAGAACAAATAGAAGTTTGAATTCTGTTCTTAACACAAAAAAATTATAAAAACAGAATAAAAAAGATAAGAGAAAGAAATACTTTTATAGCATTGTAGCATAATTTACCTTCACAAAAAGAGTGCTTGGGGCCAGTATAGAGTGAGCATCAATACCATTGAGATAGGCTTTCACCTCAGGAATACCAGAGCCTGCTGCTGCTGGAGCAATAAAAGCACAAAGAGATCCAGCTGCCGCTGCCAAGCCTATATTGCAACCAGCTAATACTACAAATGCCAGAATATATCTGTACTGAAACTACTATATTGTGAGAATAAAGGACAGCAATGCTGTGAAAGAACTATAAGTGCAGTTTATAGATTACTCCATGTCAAATAATTTCTACCAAGCCAAATGCTAAAAAGCATGTTTAAGGGTGGATGCATATTAAATATGTCAACTCTCTCCCACAAACACAAAGAAAAATTGGAAATAAAGGTCATTGGAAGATGATTAACTGCCAAATATTTTCAAATTGGGAATAAACGTCAATCGAAGATGATTAACTGCCAATTTTTTTCATTCCTTATATTTATAAGAAAATCATTTAACTATTATCTTGTGATTTTTAAACAACATTGTCATTCCCACTGAGTGTAAGGGAAGATTTTTTTTTTTTTTAATATAAAAACTTTGAAAAGTGAAATAAAAGTGCACCAAGAATATAAGGAGTATATCACATGTCTCCATTTTCTAGTTATGACTCAAGGGATTGATCAAAAGATAATAAATCTTAATCACGTCAAGATAGAGTTCTGCTTCTGCAATCATGTTATAAGTAAATAATACACATCTTCGCTAACGCAAAATTACAAGCAACACAGGAAGCACATACCACATAAATTCCAGGCTACAATGTTATTAAATGTTAAGCATGTGGATTGGTAAACCAAGGAACAAGCTCACCTGTGTTCAGACATTAGATTGGTTACTAGGAGCAGCTTGAAACCAGCTATATTCTCAACTGCAATATTATTGAGAAAACCAACAATCCCAGTGCCTAATCCAATAAGAGCAGCAAATCCCCACTTAAGTATCACATACTGGAATATCTGAATCTTGTTCCTTGATCTCCAGTCCTGCTTAAATATTTCATTCTCAAAAATCCTGAAATAACAGAACTCTTATCGGTCATACCGTGAAGTGCCCAGCTTTCTGATTTTAGTTTCGTTATTTTCTTAATGAGATACATAATGATGGGAATCGTGCTGTGGGGAGAGCTTGCAAAGATATATATATATATATATATATAAACATGGAGAAAAAGAGGTGGAGAGTTGATATGGGAACAGCAATAAAACAATGTACAGGTGAAAGAACTTGATTTCACCTAGATATAACACTTCGACCTAGTGTCCAAATAGCCAGAGATGCCTAACACAGCTGACCATAAGAAATAACGACTAGAAAGAATATCACTCTGGAAATCTGGCAGATTTTTTTTTTTTTGGCTGGTGATCAGAAAATTAGCATAGTCTTTATTCCTTCATTAACCGATTTTACAGAATGCTTGTTGGTGCATTAATTTTACAAGTCCAGAATTTGTTTGAGATATATAATTATCTTCAATCAAATAGAATACAAGTTACTTACTCGTAGTCAAGGCTTTCGATCGGGCTAAGGTTAGCACCAACTATTGCAATCTGAGAGGTGGTGTTAGTTCTCCTCACCAGAAGTGGCTCTGCATATGTCATGTTTCTTTCAGAAAACTCTGACCAGTATCTCCCATTGTCCTTCCCATCCAATGGACCTTCGTTTTCTATGTCATTCGCATCATCATCAAGATTCACATAATTTTCGTTCTCCATCTTATTAACAACTGCACTTTTCAGTTTTTGCTAGAACCTTTAGCAGAAGTACTAAACAAGCCTGCAAGCACAACCACATTATTATAAGCATAGTTAGATGGCTTCCCACAGGTATTCAAAGATTCAACACATAACCAGTCTTCTCTCTTTATTATTTCTCATCAAACTTTCTTGATTTGCTTCAAGATGCACAAAGCATGATTAGGAACTGGTGTTGTCAACTTAGAGCAATGAGAAATCAATGGAAAATGTTTAATTACTTCAAGAAACTGCATTCACAATGGCACAAATAGGAAATTTGATGAAGACAAGTGCTAAAAGAGAGGACAGATTGGGTAGAAAGAGAATATCACATTGAATGATGAAATCAAGCAAGTGGATCCAGACTCTAAACACTTCTATAAAGTTATATGAGAAAGGAAAAATAAGACATACGAGTCAATTGTAAAACAGTGCAAAAAACATGACAAACTATCCATGTGTTTGATTTAGATACCCTCCTTATATAAATCCGATATAAAGGGACTGAGAAATCACTTTAGAAAAAAAAGAAAGAACAGGATGAAATAAAAAATATTAGTCAAATATAATTCTTACTTTACACGCATAAATATAGTAGAAGAGAAAACACAAAAAGGGGCCTGGGCAAGATTAACTGATAATGAAAGAAAAAGAGGGCAAAAAGAAGCAGAAGCTTTAGATTGTTCAGTCCTTACAGTAATGAAATCGCCTTCAGCAGAAAATCCCAAAGATCATCCAAAGGCTTGTGATTGGATCGTCAGTCTGGTAAGTCAAAACACTCCACCAAGGTCCAACTGACGGGAAAGTATGAAATAATAGGAAGTAGGAATAGAATCAGCTCAATAATTCATTCCAGTATATACGACAAAGATGCTCTTTGCTTTTCCTCTTGGTTGATTATTGCAGGAGTAGCAGCCACGATCAACGCGAGAGGAAGAAAAGGGACAAGACCCAGAAATAATTGAAGCTTGCTCTAAATGGTAATTTCACAACTAGATTGAGAGTTGTGACTTTGTGTGGTTCTTATCCGTATATTGGCCTCAATCAGTATTAATCTGCCAGAGACAAACCGTCAATTTCCCCTCTTACATACGGAAAAATATTAACTTTTCAACTTACTTCATTAATTACTTACCGTTTACATGACCCATCATATGCAGTTTTTTTTTTTTTACTCTGGTAGAGCCTTACACGGGAAGCAATCTTGACGTAATTAATAAATTATTAGCAGTATTCGTTGAAAATGATGATCGGGAAGCCATTGCAACGTGAATCTCGTTGCAATATGAATTAACTTTCTTGTGTTGCTTGTTTAAATCGTTTTACTAAATGAGGTAATTTTACGTTTGGGACTTACGCAAAAGAGTGATTATCGTCAAGTAGGTTTTTAGATTTTGGGGCCCGATGAGTGATTAGTTGTTGCACCCGAAAGAGACAATCGGAGCCCGTTGCGCCATGTTCATAAACGTGCTATGGCAGTCAATAATATGAGGGCCACCATGTGTTTTCTCCGTTTGCCTGGCGAGAAATCACGTGGTTATTGTATTAATTAATTGTTAGTCGATTAAGATTTGGATTATAGTGGTGGACCCACGTTGGTCCTGGGGGGCCCTGGCCCCACCAACCCCTGAACCTTAAGTTATACACACGTGTCCAGTGACTTAGTCACTCCCTCCGGCAGCAACGCAATGGCACTAGCACAAATTGTTGTGTTACTGTGTAATTCTCTCTCTCTGTTTTTTTTTTTTTTTACCTGAACTGTGTTATTCAATAAGCATCCGTCTCTTATATTTACATGTTTAAATAGAAATAAAATATATTATATTTAATTATTTTTTGGTATTAAATTTTTTATTAACAAAAAAAATACTATATACTTATAACATATATATACGTGTCAATCTTTTTAATTAAATAGTAATGAATTAATTATCATACAAATTATCTATTTGTATAAGTATGCGTTTAATGTTTTAATATCAGTAAATAATAATTTAAATTTTTCAAACATTCAATTTTCAATGCATATATTTTTTTATAAAAATTTATTATTATCTATCCTAATTTTTTGTTTAAAACATCAATATCTAAAGGCAGATGAAAACGTATTTATTTCAAAAAAATAATTAAAATAAATATTTAAAAATTACATACATACACATATTTATTTTATAAAAAATCCCCCGCCCCTATTCATGAATTTGGTTCCGCCATTGGTCACCCTAGTTTTATTTGTAAATTATTTTTAACATATCCTATTAAAATTAAAACTAAAGAAAACTGTAAAATTTTTAAAATTTAATGTTTTCAACTTTACTTATGTTAAACATGCCTACTTTAATATCTTTTTAGTCTTCTTTATGAAGTAGAGAAATAAGATTTTTCTGATCTTATTTATAAATTACATCATTAATTTTTTAACACAAACTTCTCATTTTTATCTTGCATTAGATGTTGATAACAAAAAAATATGTTATTAAAATATATATTTTTAATATGGAGATCTTTTATGAGTTAAATTATGTTGAGAACTTGTTAAATTTTTAGATAGAGTTAATAAATTTTAAGGATATTCTTAATTTCTATAAAATATATTGAAAATGACTTATAAATAAAATTAGAAGAGTAATATATTTTTTTAATCAATTTTAAGGGGGAGTAAAAGGGGGAACTTATAATAAAAAAAAGTTAAATTTTATTTTTCTCCATTTATTTTTTTACAAAAAATACTAGGCACTTTATATTGATAAGTGAAATATTTTTTTTCTTAAACCATTTTTCAAGAGTAAAAAGCCCTTTTTGTGAATGGTTAGTTAACTTTGTTATTTTTCACTGACGTGTTATGTAAACATTAGGTAGGATTCTAACCTTTTTTTTATCATATCTTTTGGTGTTAAATTATCCTTGAATTATTTTCTAATAGTGCAAGCACTTTAAAGTTTTATTAAAATAAAATTTAATAAATATTGTTAAAATATTTAAATATTATTATCTATAAATATTCAGATAAAATTTATAAACTATTTTTTAAATATTAACAGCTTAAGTTAATTTGTCAAAACTTTATAGATGACTTGTAATGGGTAATAATTAATGACATAATTTATAAGCAAGACAAAAATTACTCTCTTTATTTTATGAATAGAATTAGGAGTATAAAACAAGGATTCGGGTTTAAATGTTGATGAACATGATTAATAGGTTGTTATAGTTGGGAAAAACAAGTTGGCTCGCCAAAACTTGTGTACGAGATGGGATACGTTGATTCAACTCCCCTTCCCTTAAGTTGGAATTTTTCTTATTCAACTCAACCTGGGGATATAAGTAAGTTGGAAAAATTTTAGTGAGGGATCCGTGATTAAATATAATGAAAAAGATGATTCTTAAATTTTTAAAATTTCACTAGAAATTTCGTTTGAATTTGTGATGGAGATAACAAAATTTTTCTAACTTAAATTAACAATATAAATGACTTGTTTGCTTTCATACTGTACGTTGTTCATTTACTTATGAAGTGTTAGTTTCCTTACTTCACTTGTTTACAAGCTTATTTTCATTTGATTTCATTCTAGGGTCATAAATAAGTGATATAGATAAATGAATAACATTCCGTAAGTAAATGAATAATATACAATATGAAAATAAACAAGTCATCTTATTATGAAACTAACACTTAGAATAAAATCAAGTGAAATTAGGATTATAAATAAATGAATTAGATAAACAAACAATATTTTTTAAGTAAATGAACAATATTAAGTATGGAAATAAATAAATCATTTATATTGTTCATTTAAATCGAGATAATTTTATTATTTCTGTCACAAATTCAAAAATAATTTTGTATGAGTTATTCAGTAAAATTTTAAAATTTTAAAAATTATTTTTTTTTATTATGCCTGGTCAAGGATTCTTCACTGAAATTTTTTCAAGTAAGTTTGTCAACATCAGATCAAATTAATTGGTTTGACAATCTAACTAGAAATCGCCCTACAGTATGGTTCGGCTAATCTTTAGGACCAGGAAAAAAGTGAACTAGGATAAAACTAGTCAAAACCTATAAAAAAAAATTAATTAGAACTGGCCAAGAACCAGTTTTCATTTTTTTTTAAAAAAATCTCAATAACAAAAAATTAATCTTTTAAAAATACTTTTTAAAAGTTAAAAGTAAATTTTTCAAACACACTATTAAAAACAGTCCAGCGACACCGCATATTTGAAAAGTTGAATGTTTCTAAAATCAACTTTAACTCACTTTCTGAAAATCATTTTGAAATCTGATAGCATGGGGAAATTTTTTTTTTTTACTTAAATAACTTTTAATTTTTAAAATGTTGCAAAATTTACTTTTTAAAAGTCAAAACTCGGTTCCAAGCACCCTAAAATAAAAGGGCTGGTAAATTTTTCTACTCGAACCTTGTCTCCATGTAGCAGATATCTGTTCCCCAAGAATTCCTATCTACATTAATGGGTACAAAACCCCTTATCTACATTAACCGGCTTGACATTTGGCTTGCTAATATGGCTTCACATTTGGCTTTACTTTTATTAATTAGCATTCATAATTTTTTTTAAGAATGCACTTTATTTTATCTGATTTTAAGTTAAATTAATATAAAAACTATGGTTTTAAATTAAAAAGAAATGAAGAAAATGGATAAAAATATAGTGCAAGAAATTGATTATTTAATTTCATTGAAAACTTTCAATTATTTTAAAAAATAAATTAAATATAAAATAAATTATAAATTGGAAAATTTTTTTATTCAATAGGTAATGATCATCATTTTTTGTTAAGTTAATTATTATTTTTAGGATTTTATTTTAAATATTAAAATATTTAAAATTAAAAAAAATGGTATTTTCGTTTTCAATGTTTGGGTGGGTCTCGTTAGCATTCCATCCAACCTTTTCTCTGTCTTTCTCTTCTCCATCCATTTTTCCCTCTTTCTTAGCCACCTGTCCTTATTAAGCTAGAAGATGTTAACCAGAATTTAATGGAGCCATATCTATTTGAAGAAAGTTACTCATAGATATTTGATAGAAATATATAAAAATTATTGGATCGATAACGATGTCCTAAGCTTGATTCAAATTAAAGCACCTAAACAGACAACGGGTAATAATTCCCAGCTCACAAGGTGTCATACTCACACGCTTTGTTTTGAATTTGATAATAGGCTACCCATGAAAGTTGATATTTAAGATATATATATATATATATATATATATATATCTCTATGTTCCGAATCTGAAGAAATCTAAAGGAAAGTATATGCTTGCTTAAATCCATGGAAATTCTTTATAGGCCACGATTCTGAAGGTATTTGAGGTCTATCTCACTATTTTTTTAATTTATTAGATTTTTAATATATGTCTATTTATCTGATGTATTTTATATTAGTGAAAATTGTTTAATCTTGGTTTTGATAATGACAAAATAAAGAATTTCATTTTTGGCAGATGCTTGAAAACTTAAAAAAATTGGGATTGTAACCTTAAATCTCTGGCTTTCCTCCTAAACATTGTCCCTTGTCACTTTGTGTATCGAGATAAATATTTATCTCAATTATCCTTGAACAAGATCAATTTGTAGCTTTCTATATTAAAATTTCTTGATTCTGAATTTTCTTGTTCATACTAGTATCCTGAGTCTCACACCCTTATCATCTTGACCATATTGACATGAAAATTGTCTTTTGTTCTTTCAAGTCCTTCATACCTATACCATAATCTTCATACCGATATCATCTGTTTAAGTTTACTTTTCCTTCTTATTTCTTTATACCATTGCCTATTTGCTCATACCAATGTATGTTCATCTTATTCATACTAGTATAAACTTGTTCATACTAATATCAAATGTCCTCATATCCATATGAAATTCTTCATACTAATATGAACTCTTCCTACCCATATCAAACGTGTCCAAATAGCATCTTTTCCAATATTCATTTCGGCATGAATTGCTTAATACCTGAATGAGTTTCAAATCTTCTTCTGTCTCACATTCATTCATCCA